TTGTGAAGACATAATTGTTGGATATCGGTATCCAAAGAGTGATATCCATGGGATAAAAGGATAATATATGGTATAAAAAAATAATTCACTATAGTCTACTAGACCCACTAAAGATTTTATTTTTGCAAGAACATAAAATTCAGATTAACTTTTTTATACATTCAGAAACAAATTTCTTGAGAATTTGAAGAATGGCAGCCCACAGAGAGAAAACGGACAAAGCCTCTCACAGTTTCCCAGAGTTTGTAAGTTTCTGTATATTCATCTTTCTATTAATTTATAAAACCCAAGTTCTTTAACAAATTATTTATGTGAACATTAGTGCAGAGTACCAGGACTTTGAATGGAATATCATTCTTAAAGAAACAATACAAGACATTGAATAGTTTCTTTAAAATTAAACTTACTGTATAATCCCTATTAACCGCCCCGGGCGCTTAGAAAATTGGAAAAAGGGGGCGGTTATTTTGGTGTTCTCTTTATGATATTAAATGTCATTTTTTAACTGCAAAAAATTGTTTGAAAATAAAAATAAATACAAGAAACAACTAAGAAAATGTCTAACTTTACTTAAAGTAAGGATAATTCACCCACATTATGCTAAATTGTTAATTTTCCACCGAGAAATTGGATGATAGACAAATTTCATTTTTCATTTTCTTCAATTTTTTGATACAATTCTAGTTGATTTTAATCACTTACAGGGGGCCCTTATTTCCTGACAATTGAAAAAGACCTAAGGGGGCACTTATAGGGGCAGGGGTGGTTAATAAGTAGGGTTGGGACGATATATCGAGATATCGATATATCGTGATATATGTGAGGACGATACGCATATCGATACATGTGAAGAAATATCGGAATATTGCCCCCCAAAATCTTACTCCTATTTTTCTTTGTTTATTTAACATTGAGGTTTAATATATAAAGTAAATAAGATAAATATAAATTTAGATGTGAAATAAATAAAAATTAACACCACTTGAGTAAAATATTTTTGTTTTACAACATATAAACAACTATTTTGAATAAATAATTCTTATTTGCAAAGAAATAATTTGTTTATTTCAATGCAAAAACAGATTTTATAAGCAATTAAACATATCGTGATACATATCGTATCGTGGTTCAAATATCGTGATACATATCGATATAGAAAAAGTTGTATCGTCCCAGCCCTATTAATAAGGATTATTATACAGTATTGACCTTAACTTAATTTTGTTTTTTGCTAATATTGAAAGAAAGTATAAACTATCCCATTATATTTTCAGCTCACCTGAGCTAAAGGCTGTGGGCATTTCTGACCATTTTTCACATTAACCTTTTCACATTTTTGACTTCTTATCAAGAAGCACAGGGCAAATTTCAACCAAACTTGCTACAAAATAGCCATGGATGAAGGGGATTCAAGATTGTTCAAATGAAAGGCCACACTCTCTTCCAAGGGGAGATAATTATAAATTAGGGAAAAATTTAATGGCTTTTTAGCTCACCTGAGCCGAAGACTCAAGTGAGCTTTTCTGATCAAAATTTGTCCCTTGTCTGGCCGTCGTTGTCATCGTAGTCGTCGTTGTCGTCTTTGGCGTTGTTGTAAACTTCTCACATTTTCATCTTCTTCTCAAGAACCACTGGACCAATTTCAACCAAACTTGCTACAAAGTATCCTTTGGTTAAGGGGATTCAAGTTTGTTCAAATGAAGGGCCACACCCTCTTCCAAAGGGAGATAATTCTGAATTAAAGAAAAATTAATGGAATTTTTAAAAAATCTTCTTCTCAAGAACCACTGGAAAGATGAAACTCATGTGGAATCATCCTCAGGTAGTGTAGATTCAAGTCTAATCAAATCATGACCCAAAGGGAGTAATGTGGGGCCACAATGGCCGACCAAAGTTTTACATAGGAATATATATAGATAAAAATCTCTAAAAATTTTCTTGGGACAGGAAAGATAGTGTACATTGATGAAGTCTGTTCAAATCATGACCACCGGGGATAGGATGGGGCCACAATGGCCGATCAAAGTTTTACATAGGAAAATCTTTAAAAATTTTCTTCTCAAGTACTGCAAAGCCATCATTAGTGATATTTATATGGAAGCATCCTCAGGTACTGTAGATTCTAGTTTGTTCAAATCATAACCCCTAGGGATAGGGTGGGGCCACAATGGGGGATCCAAATTTTACATTAAAATATATTTTAAAAAAATCTTTTTCTAAAGAATAGCAAAGCCATGATTACTGATATTTATATGAAGCATCCTCAGGTAGTGTAGAATTAAATTTGTTCAAATCATAACCTCCAAGGCTAGGGAAAGGTCTCAATGGCAGATCAGAGTTTTACATAGGAAAATAAAGGGAAAAATCTCAATAACAGAAAACCTATGTTAAGTCATATTGACATGTAAGCATCCTCCTGTATTGTGTAGATTTCTGTAGATCCTGTATTGAAGATTTAAATTTGTTCAAATCATGAGTACCCTTTGGGGTAGGGAGGGAAACAATGGGGATCAAATTTTAATTATTACAAAGTAATATACACAAAGTGTTAAAAAAAATCTATAAAAATCTTTTTCTCAAGAACCTTCTTAAGAAGTTGTATGCAGAATTGGAGGCATTCTCAAGTAGTATTAGAATTCAACCCCCCCCCCCCCCCCCCCACCAGTAAACTTTTCAATTCTGATCTGATTTGTGCTTTTCCCTAGCCGATGTGCTCAGATGAGCGATGTGGCCCCTGGGTCTCTTGTTAAGAAACCATTTAAGATATTTTTATGTAAAATTTTATACATAACTTGGTGAAAAAATCTATTTTATTTAGAACAGCAAAGCCATGATTATGTGATATTTATATGGCATCTGTCTGTCTGTCTGTAAACAATTTTTTCAAAATGCTACTCCTCCTACAGTTTTGGTGTGATTTCAATATAACTTGGCACACAAGTAGACTACACTAAGTGGTGTTGCCATGGTTACTAAAAATAGAAATTTATGTGAAATACTCTCAAAATGCTACTCCTCCTACAGTTTTAGTCTGATTTCAATTTAATTTGGCACACAAGTAGACTACACTAAGATACATAATTCTGCATGTGTATCAGTATTTGATTTTGATTAATATTGTTGCCGTAGTTTCTAAAAATAGAAATTTCTGTAAAATACTCTCAAAATGCTACTCCAAATACAGTGTTATAAGTCTGATTATAATATAATATGGCATGCAAGTAGACTATACTGAGATACATAATTGTCTTTTTTTTTTAATTTTATTTTTTATTTTGATGAATGATGTTGCCATGGTAACTAAAATTTAAAATATTTTAAAATTGTATTAAAAGGTACTCCCACAGTTTTAGTCTTATTGCAATATATTGCCACATAAAGAGACTTAATCAAGGATCAGTATTCTATTTATTGCTGTTAAATTTCAAGTCCCAACTGCTACTTTTCTCTTCTTTGTTATTAAAGTACAAATCGGTAAAGCTTTGGTCTCGACAGAAACTTCTGGTTTAGATTTCAATTTTGAATTTAAAGAAGCTAATCAAGATATTCTCATCAGAATTCATACAAATCCAAATCCAAATTTTCATGTTACAATATTAGTAATATACACTTGGCAAGACATTCATGTCCTATGGACATATTTGTAGTTAATGATGGCCACACATTCAAGATTGTTCAAATCTTTTCCCCTGGGGATAGGGAATGACCAAAATAAATGCTCAAACATTAAGAAAAAAATCTTCTAAAGCCATGATTGGTCAAAACATCCTTAGTGTAGATGTAGAAATCTCTCCTCCCCACTTTCCTGGGATATCTTACCTTTGTAATAAACCAATTTCTGATTTTTCTAGCCAGTGTTCTCTAAGGTGAGCAAAGTGGCCTATTGTTGAACTTTTAACTCTTTACAACTTACTGAATTGTTATGCAACATACACTTAATGTTAAGGACCCTCTCTACACCAGTGCAAAATGCTTTTTAGACATTGAGAAAAATATATTGTATAAAGGTGTTAAAATTGAGCATATCTACATTTTTTCACTGTACCTTTCCTTTGACCTTGACCTCACTTTGTTTACCCCGGAAAAATGTTTTAAATACAACACAGTATCAGTGAATAGAAATCGCTGTTGTTTACTTCCATAGAAAAAATACATGTAAATTGTTGTAGATGTATTGGGGAGGCCACAATATCAGTTAGGAGTGGGAAACACAAGAGCACATGTTAGGCTACTCCATTTATTCAAACTACACAAAGAATTACACATAACGATGATGTAGTACACAACATCAATTACTATACTATACAAACAGACACGTACAGTTCTGGATTACATACACAACACTCCTCCCCCCTTAAAGATGAAAACTATTAATAAAAACATATAAAAATAAAAAGTTATCTTACAGAGTAAAGTTCGTTAATGTTTCAATATATGATAAACATTTGACTAGAATATAGAATAATTACATAATACTTTAGCAATTGCAACACATGGCAAGATCAACAAAATAATACATTCAAATGACTAGAGACAACTGAGACAGTCACATTAAATCTAAGTCTTTAACAGTTAATAATATGATTGAACACATTTACAAGTCCAGTCTCTGGGTTGGTTTGCGGATTCACTGCGGATAACGGCGCGGTGTGTTGTCTGGTTTCGGCAACAGTATCAGGTGGTTAGTAACCAACGGTACTGGTTTGCCAGTCAGTGGTGACTTGGTCGGTTTCTCAGGAATGACTGGTGTCCCTGGCGCGATAATGTCCTTTGGTAAGGGTACATCGGGCACATACACAGGTAGAGGCGGTTCGCTTTGCACATCGCCCTGTAATACGGTATCTTTCATTTGGTCCACGTGCCTGCGCCATGTTGAACCATTCACATCGATTTGATAAGACAGTGGACCGGTCCTCGAAGTGACGTTTCCTTTAGTCCATCTTCTTCCTTCCCTGTAATCTCGAACTAGTACAGATTGACCATTACCGAATTCACGGATGTTAGTTCCGACATGTTTTGGCACTTTTGATTGCACGTTTGAAAGATTGCACAAATCTTTCAGCCTGTCCATTGGTGCGGGGATGGTACGGCGCAGATGTTATGTGTCTTATTCCATTCTGGGTCATGAATTGTTTAAATTCTGCCGAGATAAATTGCGGGCCATTGTCGGACACTACTTCATTTGGTATACCTTGACGGGAAAATAAGGTGCGCAGAGTTTTCACAGTAGCTGATGCTGTAGTAGATGTCATATGGAAAACTTCAGGCCATTTGCTATGAGCATCAATCACAATAAGGAACATAGCATTCTTAAAAGGGCCAGCATAGTCCACGTGAACGCGATACCATAATTTCAGGCCAGTATATATGGTGCAGCGGTATTTGATTTTGGAAAGGCATCCTGCGCATGAGCGGCATGTTTGCTCCAAGTCGCTGTCAATGTTTGGCCACCAAACGTATGATCTCGCATATGCCTTCATTCGAACAATGCCAAGGTGTCCAGCATGTATTTCTCCTAATAATCTGGGGTGTAGGCTTTCAGGAATCACTACCCTGTTTCCCCACATGATACATCCTTGGTGCAGTGTAAGTTCATCCTTTCTCTGTATGTATGGTTTCAAGCTTTTAACAAAAGTGTTAGGGAATCTCCCAGTAGACACGAAGTCAAGGACTTGTGCTAAGATTGGGTCTCGTCGAGTTAAATTTCGCACTTGTTCTGAAGTTACCGGTAGCATTTCCAACTGGGTACTGTAGAATATATCTACTTCGTCAGTCCCCTCACTTTCTATAGAGTGCAGTGGCAATCTGGATAGCACATCTGCATTGCAGTGTTTGTTCGTACTTTTGTATATGATATCATATGAATGTCCAGAGAGGAAAACTGCATATCGTTGGATTCGTGCTGCAGTCATTGCCGGTAGGGCTTTGGATGGGTTGATACTAAGTAACGGCTTATGATCGGTGATTAGCGTGAAATGTTTTCCAAATAGATATGTATTGAATTTCTGTATCCCCCAGTAGATGGAAAGGGCTTCCTTGTCTATTTGCGAGTATCCACGCTCTGCCTTCTTCAAGGTCCTTGATGCGTAGGCGATAGGTCGTTCACTTCCATCTGAAGATGTGTGAGATAGCACACAGCCAGTGCCATATGGGGATGCATCACAGGCTAATTTCAATGGAAGGTCTGTGTTGTAGTGACACAACACCTGTTCAGAAGCCAGAATGTCCTTCACTCTTTGGAATGCAGCATCATGTGAATCTGTCCAATTTTCTTGTCCTGAAATTCCTTTAAAATGGGCCACAACTGTAGAGTTTTGGAATGAACCGGTGGTATTTTACAATAAGAAATGCTCGGAGTTGTGACACGTTTTCAGGCTACCTCAGTAATCGCAATTACTTTGTCTGGTGATTTATGTAAGCCATTCTCATCAATTTCATGTCCACAATAACTCACTCTCTTTTTAAAAATAGACATCTTGTCCAAATTGACACATAAGCCATATTCATCGAGGCGTGACAACACTTTACTGAGGTTACGCTTGTGGTCCTCATCAGAAGTTCCAGTGATGATGATGTCATCCAAGATGCACTGGGTGTGCGGAATGCCCTGTAAAACTTGCTCTATGGCTCGCTGCCACATAGCCGGGGCTGAAGCAGCTACCAGTCGGTTGTACATATACAACCCTTTGTGAGTTTATTTTTTATTTTGATGAATGAATCTGGTGGTATGCTTGTGTGAGGTCAATTTTGGAAAATTGAAGAGAGGTTTGCGAAATTTTATCTTAGGCAACGGGTATTGATCAACCTTCAATACCGGGTTGACAGTGACTCTTACATATGCGAATGTATATTCTTTTTCAGGGCTGGAACAAAAAGTGTTGCCCAATCAAGTGATCATTATTCCCTATATTTTGGAGTCGATAAAGTCTTTCTCGTCTTTGGCCGCATTGCGTACTTTTCGCTTCACGCCTTTGGAATTAAAGTGCAAGGGTAAGGTGTGCCTTAATGTCTTTAAGTTTCCCTATGCCCTCTGCAACACAATCTTGTGTTGTTTAGATTCTAAGTTTGTGACGTGATCAGTAGTTATTCCTTCTAGGTGTAGTGACTTGATATCAATCCAGTTAATGTAGTTTATCTTAGCCAATCTCTCCCAAAAAGTGCTACCTTTCTGAGGTACGAAGGCTAATTCTGCCTCTTGTCCATTTATTGTAACTGTTGTTCTCAGTTTACCAATGGGTCGCATCGTGTGTCCCGAGTATGATTTCAGTGTTTTGTCGCAGGGATGTAGCTTTATATCTTGGAGCGTTGATAAGTAATCTTGTTCTGAGATAATGGATAGCGCTGTTCCTGTGTCTAGCTCCATGTGAATAATTCTGCCAGCTATAGACGGTTTTACAATAATGGGATTGGAGTGTTTCCCCTGTATGCTATTCACATTGATATGTAGGATTTGGTCATCATCGGACTCTGATTTCCATGTGTACTCCTCGACCTCTTGTTGTTTTAAACCTGTTGTTTATTTCTGCGTTTCTTCAAGCACACCTTCTGGATGTGTCCCTTAATTGAACAAAAACGACACACAGTGTTGATATGTTTACACTTATCTGGTTTATGGTCACCCTCACATCGAAAACAAGGTTGCATAGGTGCAGTCTTTTGTTTGAACGGTTTCTTAGGTGTGAATGTTTTCATGTGTACTTTATTGACCTGTTGTTGCCCACGTTGTCCCTGCAATTCAATTGCGTCATTGGTCGCTGTCTCCATCGCTACTGCGGTCTTCACAGCTTTGTCCAGGTTCAGATCTTCCTTTGACAGAAGGTTTTTCTGGATGTGTTCATTACGCAGGCCACACACAAATCTATCACGTAGAGTATCGCCTAGATTGTTACCAAAATTGCAGTGTATTGCAAGATTTCGCAGCTCAGCTATGTACTGTAGAATTGTTTCACCTTTTTAAAGTCCCGCGTGGAACTGCGGGGAAACGTTCTGCAATTACGAGGGGTTTAGGATTCAAGTGTTTATTGAGATGATCAATCAGCACTTCAAATGTTTTGTCAGACGGTTTATCTGGAGCTACTAAAGTCTTTAGCAATGCATATGTCTTTGGGCCTATTAAACTGAGTAAGGCTGGTACCTTAATGTCATTTGTTACCCCAATGGCCAGAAAATACTGTTGCAGGCGTTCAACATAGGCCTCCCACGTTTCTATGCCATCATCAAAGTTTCCGATCTTGCCGATTGCGAAGGTCGCCATCGTAATACGTTCAGGATTCGTTGTCGTAGTCTTGAACTACCGAGAAATCCTCGTCGCCAGTGTTGTAAATGTATTGGGGAGGCCACAATATCAGTTAGGAGTGGGAAACACAAGAGCACATGTTAGGCTACTCCATTTATTCAAACTACACAAAGAATTACACATAACTATGACGTAGTACACAACATCAAATTACTATACTATACAAACAGACACGTACAGTTCCGGATTACATACACAACATAAATAACATGTTCATTTACTTAATCTAGGCATTTTAAAATGTAAAGAATATTTGCATTTGTTAAAAATTAAGAAATATACTGTAATTTTTGTTTTAAAGAATAAGGATCTAAAGGCAGATCACTCTAATTGCAGAAAAATAGCATAGAATTAGAACTCTTTACTGTGCAGTGTAGAGAGGATTCTTAACGTCATAGAAATATGTGTTTACCATTTCCCTGCAAGCACTTTATAGCGTGGTACTAGATTCTCTAAAGTTTAGCGCAAATAATATTATGAGTAATATTTTGATAAGAAAATAACTTTTCTTATTTTATGAGATTTCAGCAAGTATAAAATAGAAGGAATTTGGCAATAAATTGAAGATTAAATGAACTTTTTAAAGTGCGTGAGTGCGGGGAAACAGTATATGCATGATTTTGCGTTAGAAATAGGAAATGGTGTATGCATAAAAATGTGTGACTATGGGGAAAGGGGTTAATGCTTATACATACTTATGAAAACTATTCAATGACATCAACATTTTGAGCTTGATGGTTCTTTTGACCTTGACTTCAAAGGAACACAGTATATTTTAGATGAAAGCAAAATGTCAAATTATGATCGATAAAGTTTGTTGCGGGTGATGGCACAATGGTTGGTAAGAAGAGCAAACTAGATTTAAAAAAAAACGAAGAAAATCTACCCCCACGAGAATTCAAAGAAAATTTGAAGGAGGGAAGAGATTGGTTGTTACAGGACAATCAAATCAGCATGGTGTTCAGTGTGCAATATGTATTGATAATAAAATTCAAGCACAATTATCATCTTGTTATTGATTTGTTATTGACTGACTGAAATCTGTCTGGACTGACAAATTTCTGATGATAGTCAGTTTGATTTTGCCATATTTATTTCGGTACCAGTACCTGCTATATAAACCCTGATGCACTTGTTACACTTGAGTGATTTTCTAGCCTGGCTGTCGACATGTTCACATCTCTGATAGCATTGTTTTTAGATACACCATAATCTGACCAAATACATGTTTTAGAAATAAAAAGCCAAGCAAAACTAGGACTATGCTTATAATTAAGTGAATAATTCTAAATGCTTTAGCTGCAATGTAGAAAATGATATACAGTATGTATTTATACAAAAGCATGCATGCAAGCCAAATTTACCTAATCAAATGATCTTTTATAATTGTATAGATATTTATATAATTGTATTTTCATGAAACATTACTTATTTGGGAAAACAAAGAGGTAATCATAAAATTAAATCTTGGTGAAACTTGTGTTTTTCACTGTAGAAATTAATGGAAAATAAAAAATATTTTTAAAATATCCCCCCCATTAAACAAAAATTTCTTTATACATGTACCGTCATTTGCACTGTCATTTAACAAATTCATACCAAAGCTTTTTGAGACAATTTCCAAGTAGATTACAGGTAAAACCTTGTATTTTACTAATCTATATGTTTAATTTTTATGTGTAAAACATAAGAAAATATTTAAGAAACACTTAATGAACAATCAAAGTTTTACAGAGGAATTAATTTAGGGATAGCAGTTTGTAACCAATTACACCAACCAATTAATCAATTACTTGGTTAACCAATTACTCGGTCGGAACGATGGTACTCGGTCAGAGAATCTGTAATCGATTAGTCGAAAAAAAAAATATATATGTAAAATTGAACAAAATTGTCTTAAAATTAAATTTGAAAAAATAATTTATGCACATATGGGTGATTATTTAGCATTAAACAAAATCATTTAAGATGATTTGGAGGTAATTATGGCGCTCCGCATAGAGACGATGACATAATTGGTCAGTTTTGTTTAGTGTTAATTACTGTGAAAACACCATGTCATTACCCTGAAAGTACTGTAATTCTTTAATGAATATACCTCACGCTACAAGTTGCATGAGGTATAATGTTTTTGACCTGTCAGTCAGGCTGTCCATCAGTCCTGTTCTTTTGTCAGGGCAACTCCTCATAAACTGCTGCACAGAATTGCGTCAAACTTTGCAGATATTTAGGACACAATGTGTAGATGTGCATATTACCAGGAAATTCCCGATTCCAGGAATTTCCGTGCATATTACCAGGAAATTCCCGATTCCGGGAATTTCCGCACTTTTCAACTTAGATTTTTGGCTATATCTTGAATATAGAGATGAACAGTTTGTCAGTGCAACTCCTCATAAACCGCTGCACAGAATTTCGTCAAACTTTGCAGATATTTAGGACTTGATGTGTAGATGTGCATATTACATGTACCAGGAAATTTTGATTCGTTTATTTTTTCCGGGAATTTCAGCACTTCGACTTTTGGGGGAGCGTGGGGTATGTGAGCTTGCTCACTTTTTCTTTCATTATAAATGAATCCCTCTAATCTCTCTAAATTGGTATGTTTGTCATTTTCAGTTAACTATCCAATTAAATGATTTATAAAATGTTATCTGAATCAAGGGCAGATAATAAGATTAGCTTTTGTGACAATGCAGAATAAACTTATCGATTATCAATTATTTTTCTTGACTTTTTTTCATGTTTTTCTTAAAAAAATTTTTGTCCTCTGAAATTTAAATAAAAATATGTGCCTTTAGTTTTCTGACCAGAACAAGTAGAATTAAAAAATATTCCCGTCATTTTTAGTCTTTTTTTGTTCATGGATAGAACTACTCAAAAAAATGTCATGAAAATGAGAAAATGTATTATATTTTGATACGATTAAGCAGTTAATCTGTCGGAACGTCTTGCAGTTAACCGATTAGCAATTCTGCATTCGATTGCCATCCCTAATATTAATATATAGGAATTTGAAAAAAAAAAAGTTCTTTGAGGAACAGGAAAACCATGATTGGTCATGTTTATATGGATCATTCTCAGGTAGTTTGGAATTGAGTTTGTTCAAATCATGACCCCCAGGGGTAGGGTGGGGCCAGAATAAACAATCAAATTTTTACATACGAATATATAGGAAAAATCTGAAGAAGAACGGAAAAGACATGTTCAGTTATATTGTTATGGAAGCATCCTTGGGTAGTGTAGATTCACTTTGTTCAAATCATGACCCCCAGGGGAAGGGTGGGGCCACAATAAACGATTGAATTTTTACATAGGAATTTATATAGGAAAAATCTCAAGAATGGAAAAACCATGTTAAGTTATATTGTTATGGAAGTATCCTTGGATAGTGTAGATTCATGTTTGTTCAAATTATGATCCCAGGGGGTAGGGAGGGCCACATTGGGAATTTTATTGAAATTTCAAAAAAGGAATGTATAGGAAAAATCTTTAAAAATCTTTTTTTTTTTACTTTTTTAGCTCACCTGAACTATAAACTTGGGGGTCATTAAAAAGCTTCTTCTCAAGAACCACTGAGCCACAAAAGCTGAAACTTATGTGAAAGCATCCTGGGGTTGTGTAGATTCTATATTGTGAGCTAAATTGCAAAGATGTTGGTTGATTGTTCCATTCGAATGAGTTGATAATTTCAAATTGATGAGTTTTACTGCTTAATATTTAAAGTTTATTCTGCAAATAATGGCAAACTGTAGAAATATTTTTTGAACTATATTTTCCTATTTAACTTGCATTTTATTTTTAAAATTTTTCTTTTACATTTATTATTCAAATTATATATATAATTATTCATCAGTATTGTTCAAGTGTAATGAGTGCTTTCTGGTATATATCAGGGGATGACAAATCCCACTGCCCGACGCCCGGGGCTAGTGAATTTTAGGGGTGAGCAAGTGAAATTTTATTAACCACTTGCCCACAAGTAAAAATGGGATGGGAAGGGAGAGGGTAGGGGAGGAATGGGAAGGGAGAAGGGTGGGATGGGAAGGGAGAGGGGAGGAGCTGGAAGGGATGGGAAGGGAGAGGGAGATGGGGGGGAGGGAGGAAGGGAGGGAAGGGAGAGGGGAGGGATGGGAAGGGAGAGAAGGGATGGGAGAGGGGAGGGAGGATGGGAGAGGGGATGGGAGAGGGAAGGGAGGGGGAGGGAAGGGAAGGGAGAGGGAGGAACTGGAAGGGATGGGAAGGGAGGGGAGGGGGATGGAAGGGAGGGGGAGGGATGGGGGAAGGGAGGGAGGGGAGGAATGGGAGAGGGAGAGGGGAGGAAGGGGAGGGGTGGGATTGGAAGGGAGAGGGAAGGGAGTGGGAAGGGAGAGGGGAGGGGGGAGGGAAGGGGGGGAGGGAGGGAGATGGGAGGGAGAGGAAGGGATGGGAAGGGAGAGGGAAGGGATGGGAGAAGGGAGGGATGGGAAGGGAAGGGAAGGGAGAGGGGAGGGATGGGAGAGGGGGAGGGAAAGGGGAAGGAAGGGAGAGGGAGGGAGGGGGGAGAGGGGAATGGGAGGGAGGGAAGGGAGAGGGGAGGGATGGGGAGGGAGGGGAGGGATGGGAAGGGAGAGGGGAGGGATGGGAAGGGAGAGGGGAGGGAAGGGAGAGGGAAGGGAAGGGAGAGGGGAGGGAAGGGGGAGGGATGGGAAGGGAGAGGGGAGGGAAGGGAGGGGAGGGATGGGAAGGGAGAGGGGAGGGAAGGGAGAAGGGAGGGGAGGGATGGGAAGGGAGAGGGGAGGGATGGGAAGGGAAGGGAGAGGGGATGGAAGGGAGAGAGGAAGGGAGAGGGAAGGGAGAGGGGAGGAAGGGGGAGGGATGGGAAGGGAGAGGGGAGGGAAGGGGGAGGGAAGGGGGAGGGATGGGAAGGGAGAGGGGAGGGAAGGGAGAGGGGAGGGAAGGAAGGGGGAGGGATGGGAAGGGAGAGGGGAGGGAAGGGAGAGGGGAGGGAAGGGAAGGATGGGAGGGAGAGGGAGGGAAGGGAGGGGAGGGAGGGAAGGGGGAGGGATGGGAAGGGAGAGGGGAGAGAAGGAGGGAAGAGAGAGGGGAGAGGGGAGGGAAGGGGAGAGGAGGGGAGAGAGATGGTAAGGGAGAGGGGAGGGATGGGAAGGGAGAGGGGAGAGAAGGGATGGGAAGGGAGAGGGGAGGGAAGGGAGAGGAAGAGGGGGGGATGGAAAGGGAGAGGGGAGGGAAGGGAGAGGGGAGAGGGAAGGGAGAGGGGAGGGAAGGGATGGGAAGGGAGAGGGGAGGGAAGGGAAGGATGGGAAGGGAGAGGGGAAGGAAGGGAAGGATGGGAGGGGAGAGGAGGGAAGGGGGAGGGATGGGAAGGGAGAGGGGAGGGAATGGATGGGAGAGGGGAGGGAAGGGAGGGAAGGGAAGGGAGAGAGGAGGGAAGGGAGAGGGGATGGGAAGGGAGAGAGGAGGGAAGGGAGAGGGGGATGAGAAGGGAGATGAAGGGATTGGAAGGGAGAGGGGAGGAAGAAGAATTGTTGGGAGAAAGGAGAAAGAGGAATTGGGAAGGATAGGGAGGGATGGGAAGGGTTTGGGATAGATGAGGAGATATGGGTTGAGGGAGGGATTGGAAGAGATAATGAATGAGGGATGGGGAACATATTTTGGAGAATGAAATCTTCTGAAGAATTGTTGAGAATCTGATGTTTTAAAGAAATTGTGTAGTATCTAATGGATTAAAAAATGGTGAAGAATCTTCTGAAAAATGGAGAATCCACTGTATAAGAAATAGTGGAAAATTTGATGATGTGAAAAATGGTGGAGAATTTGGTGTTTAAAAATTGTTGGAGAAAGTGATAATCTGTGAAATAGTGGAAAATTCTTTTTTTGAATGGTGGGAAATCCAGTATTGAGGAAAAAGGAGTATCAAAGATGTTAAATAGTTGAAAATCCCTTGCTATAAATAAAACAGAAGTACTGTGAGCAATGAGCTCCCATATAAATATAATGGCAGTGTCCATGTTTTGCTACGGGAAACCCAAAATTTGTGTGGGATCAAAAAGTAAAATAGGAGGTGCACAATGGCAATATGTAATAAAGATTCTGTGAAAGTCTTATCAAATTTCATTCAGTGGTATGAGAGGAGTTGTGGATAAGATATGGGTACCCCAAAGTATAAGAGACAGATGGACGTACAGATGTAGGGATGGACGGACATCACAATTACAATACATTCTCCCACTTTTCAAGTGGGGGGGGGGGTATAATGATGAATGACTTGAAAATGCAATGCTTAAAAATAGTAAAAGGGATGGGAGTGTGAAAATAAGGGTAAAAAGGGAAAATATAAAAAAAGGAGAGGAAAATTAAGAGGTAATATATGCTGGAGACAGGATTGGTGAGAAAGGAAGGTAAAAATGTGTACATTTATATGCTTAAGTCTTAAATTTCATAGCTTTAACTGGCTTAAGGTGAAATATGCATCTGATCCAAATATCTTCATTTTAAAGACAAATTTCTCAACATTGATTTCCATCATCAATAATAGCATTATATTCAAATGGAAAAGTTTGAAATAGTTTTGAAGCATGAAGCATTGCTTACATTTTCACAAAAAAGAATAATATTTATAATCAAGATATGAGGAAAAAATTATCCCTAGTTAAATCATCCTTAATTCAGCATAACTGGTCATAAAGATAATTACATAGTTAACTTACTTGGAAAGTGGCCTGTTCCAAAAACTTATGGAAAAGGGTGATCATATCCTTATCCAAAAAAGGCAGGTAGTGAACATTCATATAGAATCTTCATCCCCACATGTATGGTTCAGGTAGGGATCAAAGGTACTTGGCAATGTACCTGCTCCAAAAACTTGACTGATCTGGTCACTCATCTGAAAAATCAAGGTCAGATTCAACATCTGAAGCAAGTGAAAGTGTCCATCCATTATGGATAATGTGGAATGGATCTGTTCATATGAACTGAAGTCATCTGAGCTATTTCAAGTTTATCAGTGGGGACTACACAGTTGTCAAGAGCAGGTTACAGCATTGATAAGAAGTTTACTGATAAGTGGTTGCTATTTGCAAAGAGTTTGGAGGAGAGCCCTCAACCTCTCCTCTGGGTTCATCGTCACCAATATTTTTTGCTACAATCTTTCAAAATAAATCCAAAAATAATTCAGATGTTTAGGTATATCATTTGGTTGTTTACAAGTCATTTTCTAGAGTATAACATCAGTTGTTTGTATGATGACACATAATCGTGTACACTTTTTTTTTAAATAGAATTTTTTATGAGACATGTAAAATGACAAACTTCAGTTGTAATTAAATTGTCTTAGGAAGATTTCATTTGGTATCAAGTAACCAATGGCAAATCTGCACTGTTGAAACTTATGGAAACCATTTTCTTAGAATATTGAAAATGTTACATGTAATTGCTTAAAATTGTTTTAATCACATCTTAGATTTTCTAAGGTGGTGTACCAATTTCCCTCTAAATCCAACAGTGGGATCTCTAAGGAATAGAAAAATGCGGTAACAGAGATTGATTTAAAGGATCAACAATGTATTTTTGTTGAAAGAAAGACAACTCCTGTATTTTTAAACCTCCTTATTGACTTTTCAGGATTAAGTTACACCAAATCCAGCTATTACACATATCACCAGTTGTTACACCAACAACTACAAGTAGCTGCTACAGCTATACCTACATCACCTGTCTATCTATTACACCCAAGCTAGTTGTAAAATGCACTCCCTGCTGTCAATTCTACACTTTTCTCTCACACCCACACGCAGCTGTCACACCCATTTCCAACTGTAAACCCAAACCTATCTCTCACACCCACACCCAGCTGTCACACCCATGTCCAACTATAACACCCAAACCTATCTCTCACACCCACACCCAGCCGTCACACTCAGGCCCCTAATATGCACTTTCAGTTATGGGGCATTAGCATATTGTAGCTATAGTATGTTTTCTAGTATCTACACTAAACAAAATCGCTAAAGCACCATGAAAAGTAATATTTTACTTTAAAAAACTTGTTAATGATGTATTTTCTATATAATAAATAAAAAAGATTATAATTATGTTACTTAGATAATGAAAATAAGGCATATAAATATCAAACCTTATGGATAACTACAATGTTAGTGAAGCGTTAATAATTCATAGAAATAATAAAGATCGTGTCTATTCAATTTTCGAAGAAAAATATTTCTATTTTTTTTCTTTGTATTTGTGTTCTTTACATTTTTACTAATTTTAAAACTCGGGAAAAAAGTTACACCGTATGAACGTTTGACGCTAAAAGAGCGTGCTAACTGCAGGGGGTTCCTTTATAGAAATCTGTAAAAAATGAAAACAAAAGGACTGTGAATTCCTCTCATGAAAATTGTTTGCAAATAGATTAACAAACATAAACATGTTTACTATACACAGCATTAAGTTAGCAGCATATTACAATAAATTGAAAATTACAAAACTAGGTCAACCGGAAGTTGAATGGATTTGGTATGGACACCAAGGCACCGAATGATTACTAGGCAATATGATGACAGTCAATGACTTGTTTGATTTATAACGGGGGATTTCTTCTGTGGCTACCTCACAGACCACCTTTTAATAGTGATTCAAAATTTCATATCTGTGCAAAAATGGTGCGCAGTGCACATCTGGAAATTGGTTTTCGGACAAGAAGGTCATTCAAGTGTCATTTCAAGATACCAAGACATTTGTCAATCCCACTGTTTTGGAAATAATGGCACATTATATATCTACTAGTATTGTCTATCATGTATATCAATTGTATCGGAAAAATTATTGGGCCCACTCGGCAAAATTATTTCCCCCCTCTTGTTCCTACGGCCATGACACCTATCTCCTACACCTACCTGCAGATGTCAAACCCACACCTATCTACTATTTAAAACCAACTGCTGTTAAACCTATACCCAGCTTATACAACTTCATAAAGTCGTTACAATTTGTTTACACCCGTTATTACATAGCTATAACACCCATAGTTGGCTGTTATACACAATATTTTACATCTACGCCTAAGCTCTTGTCACCAAGCTGTTGAGTACATACACTCATCCGCTAGCGCTGTAAATGTACACCCATACTCAAATGATGCACCCACACCCAACAGACAACACCCATACTCCGCTGTTACGTTTAACTCCAAATTCCAAGTGTTTTATTTTAATCGTCTGTTTGTCTCTAGAAGGCAATTCTTTTAAAAATTGTCAGTCTTTAGACCTACTTAACCAACTTTCTCCTTTTGTAATGAAGATTCTTGTTTGGATTACGTAAGCTGTGTTAATTCTTGACTTGTATAAACATTTTAAAAACATTATCTTCAATTACATCTACGATTTCGGTCATATATGCATACAGCATCCGAAGCTTGATTTGCCGTACAGCATCCAGAAACTTATGTTGGTCATTGTTGAATTCTAATGATATTTACGTGGGAATTTAAAGAAAGGGTAAAGATGGCGACCAGTGATCGATCGCAGAAAAACTACAACCCATAAAGAAATCTGTATACAGCATAAAACAATGACCCAAGACATTCCTGGGATCAGGTGGCCAGGAGGAGTGAGTTTCCCCTTTGGCCAGTCACGCCCGCCATAATCCCTTATAATAATAAGGTAGAGGTAAAAGTCTTTAGTCAAATTTAGTATAAAAAAACAAAGGCCTAACATTTGGTTAAAATACGACCCGATAATAGGTTACATTAGTATTTGATCTCCTTCATATATTCTAATCAATCACGTGTGACCAGAGGTCAGATGCAGCATTAAAACACAGAATAAATAGATATGCACAGAATTAACACCATACACCTGGTAAAACGTGTGTCATTTGAGTATCGCACATGATAATGAATGGGAAAGGATAAACCAAGTATAAAATGAAATACCATTGCTTATTACAGCTTTGTACTTTTGTTTGCCTCTTAGATAACAAGGAGCGCAGAAGATGCTCAAGTAATAATAAAAATAATACATTTTCACTATAGATTTAACAAATCCCTGCCTTAACACAAGAATTTCTTACCCTAGGGGCCAATAATTGCACAAGCTTGATAGAAGCCCACTCACTCGTCAAAACTATATGCATGCATCTCAACTGTGTGCTTGATTATTAAGAAGCAGAGAAAATTTGTTTTAAAAAAATAAATGTATTTCACGATATAATTGAGTTCCAACCTCGCACAAGAAGCCCTATACCCAGGGGTAAAAAAAATCACAATTTTAGGAAAATAACTCTTTCTCGTGTGTTTTTGTAAAATACTCAAGACAAAGAATGAGATTTTCAAAGAAGTTCTACATTTTACAATATATTTAAGTGGTCCAACCTGACGTGTTAACCTTGCCGGCTATAAAATTAATTTTTTTTGGAAGTGGCATCCTTGCTTATCATAACCATGCAATTGGTTTGCTTGCTAAATATCCAGGGGCAGAAAAAGATTTTAAGGAACTTACTGATGTTCAATATCGGATCTTTTGAGTCTATCCTGGCATCAGAACTCTGGACCCAAGTGCCATGAAGTTCAAAATTAAAAAAAAAGTCATTTTACTCATCATAACCTTACACATAATTCATCTGCTAAATAAACCTGAGATTTTTTCACGATAATTCACTGAGTCCTGTCTAAAATCAGAGAGCTTGACCCAGGGGCCATATGTATGAAATTCACATTACCACACATTTGTGTGCTTGATATCTAGGAGAAGAAAAAAAGAATTTCATATTACTAGTATAATATTTTCAATACACCCTCCCCCTTCCACATACACATCAGAATCCCTAACCTCGGGGCAACGAAATTCTCAGTTTGGAAGAGGAACCTTTGCTTATCATACATAGCCATGAGCCTAGTTTATCTGCGAATTATTCTGGGGAGAGAAAAAAAAAGATATTTTAAAGAAAATGTGTATTTTATCTGTATGATCTTAAGAGCCCTGTCCTAACTCAAGAACCCTAGGACCATGATTTTTAAAATTTAGCTTACTAGTATTACATGTACAATCATACCAGGAGTTTAGTGGCTATCTGATGTCCAAGACTTTTTACCTTGGCACTCATTTTGATGGGTGCAGTCTCTCCCCTTACAATTAGGTCCCAGGCCAGGGGTAAGGAATTACTATTTCATCTCATACCAGCTCATCCATACATTGCATCATGTTGGTTGAAATTGGTTCAGTGTTCAAAAGAAGAAGCAGAAAATTTTCAAACGTTTACGATCAACGCACAACGACGGACAAACACAGATAGCAATAGGTACCTTAAAATGGCTGGGATTACCTAAATATTATACAGAGGGCATACGTTAATATGATGCATGATACATAGATCTGACGACAGTGGCTAAGTACACAAAAGAACATGCAGTTTCAAAATTATATCTATGATTGTCATTATTTCGGTCTGGATGTTTGTCCATCGGAACAGCTACTTTTCCGGATATATTGCATACATGTATGACGAGTTTCTATCTGTCAAGCCTTTGTATTGATTCATTTTTCTCAGAAAAAAAAAATGTTTAAAATCGAAACTGTTGGAGGTGCCAGGTTTGGAAGATTTGACATTTTTTTTAAAATAATAGAGCGAAAGTAAGGACAGAGTCAGTAGATCAGAAAAATTAAAGGTAAATGGGGAGAGAATCCAGGTGATCAAAGTAATCCGTTTAGGATTTTATATGAAGTACGTTTTATTTTTAATATTGCAGCTTTGATGGAAAGTATTATAAGGAAGTCATCCAAGCAGCGTTGGTCAGTGTAGGACATAGCAACCCCCCCCCCGGTTCCGACGCCTATGTGATCTTCCATACTTCATTGTTTTCAAAACGTAAATTATAATCAGGCGCATGAAATCGGGGGAGAGGGGGTACTCCCAGCCTTTTTCTGAACGTAAATTTCTACTATTAATTCAGTATTTGAAAAAAATGTCTATTAAAAGGGTGAACATCCCAAATAAAATTTCGAGTTAAGGAAGTCCTTGGGATGGGGGGTTGGGGGTGTCAAAGATATTTCATTAAATCATATTATATAACTATGTTGTCAACATGACTTAGCGGCAATCCAATATAGTCGCCTCGCCCTTCGTACTCGATGAATACTAACTGGGTGGCCAAATCTTGTTGGAACGAAGGGGTTTACATTTTCAGAATCCAAACTTTTTTAAAGAGCTGTGATCATTTTGTTAGTCCATTCATTATCAAGCACACTGTTTGTGGTAATTCAGATCACCTTAATTATCTACCTTGGTCAGTACATGAACGTTATGGCAGTTACATGTATCGAACAAGAAACACACACGTGAGAAATAAAAACTGTAAAATTAACCCAAAAATTTCATATATGCAAACAAGAACCACATATTCTATAACTGGTCCAACTTAAGTTTATTTTTGTATCGACAGGGCAGAAACATGCAATAATTTCATCAGAAGAAATTAAAACTGCTACAAATAATACGAGAGAGGAGAGAGAGAGAGAGAGAGAGAGACCATGAAGTATTAGCATAATGCTGTTTATAGGAACAAAGAGAGCGATCGATGCGCAAAAACTGCAGACCGTGCAACAAGCCAGTCAAAAGGACATTCTGTTCACCGACACGTTAAAAGTCTTGAGCGCTCATCAACCGAGAATCAAGAAACATCTGTGTCGCCGTAACCTAGATCCCAAATGTCGGAGTCCACTTTAGAGAAACCTGTACCCCCACCCGGCGACTAGCGGCCCGCGCGAGGCTTCTGTCGTATTGTGCAGACGATCAAATGCAGGCCGCACATACAACCCGCATGTCTAACACTGTGAAATATTTAAACATGGATTCCCTTCTCCAGATGTGTGTGTGTATTCTGTTGTTTGGGACCTTTTCGTGTCGGGGTAAGTCCATGTCTATTGTGGGTCATAATCATGTTTATTTCGGAACAATATGGTTGATTTATCCACAGTCTTTATCGTCTCTTTTTTAACTATTTTGACCTCGTTGATAAAAATAAACTGCAGGCGAACATGGCGATGGCATAAAGAAAACGCAGCATTCTTGGTTCGGGGGCGCCCTTACGTGACCTATTTCTGCTGTAACCTGTCTCGCCGTCTGCTGACCCGATCGAAAGGTCACGCGCACTGACCATTGACGTAGGGCTAACTCTCTATACACGTATCTTATTTATGTTTTAATCTCAACATAATAATTGTGTATTTTTTATGTCAGATTTATTAGATTATTTTCTATAAATTATAAATATATTGAATTAATGTTTTGTACGATTTAGCGGGTTTTACCAATGACACGGGGACTTAACATTAGCGCAGTTTCGTACGTGTGTTTTACGTGTGTTTTTGGTTGTTATCTTTCTGACTGACAGTAAGGCAGCACTGTTTATAAATCACAGGTCGACTTGCATGTCGGGGGTTCACAGGGGGTTGTAAACTCGCAGCTAAAAAAGTTATCTACGGTAAACAACTGAAAATTTAACGTGACGGCGAAGTTCTAATTCTCTTGGTAACCCAGAAAACCCGCCAACAAGCACGCAGCTTTTCCTTGTTCCAGTTCTGTAGAAGTTTGACTTCGTTTTATCAAAAACTTTTTTTCCATCTTGTAAAGGTTTTTTCCCTGTTATTGTGTTATTGTGTTTATTAAAAAATATGTTTTTTTTTCAACCTTTTTGAAATACAAATTTCAAGTATTAGTAAATACTATTCCATTTTTATAAAGCTGAAAGTTATATATATTTTTTTTAATTTTAAAGTTTAGAATTGTAAAAGTGAATGAACACTTTTATCGTAGCAATTAATACAGAAACAATAGCATTTAATACAGAAACAATAGCAATTAATACAGAAACTTAAAGGAAATTATAAACAAAAAAATAGTGATACATGTTTGAGAGAGAGAGTGCATATAATCATACATGGATATTGCTTTTACATGTACATGTGTATCATGATAGTTTTGAAGTTAGATTGAACATAATCGGGTAAATGCATTTAAAACATGTACATGTAATGGCTTGTTACAAAGTTGGTTTAAATTTTCAAGTGAACATTGGTATTAAGGGGGGGGGGGTGTTGCTAATATTTTATTTTATAATATTTTATGACATGAATATTCAAAATTATGTCTTCAAAATTTTAAATAAAGCATTTTCCTATCAATCCACAATATCGTCTGCATCATCATGTCATCTGAAAATATTACATGTACTAAAATGTCAACAAATTTATTTCTTTCAAAATATCACAGTAAAGTCAATTTATTGTATGTGCTGTCCTATGAGAAACAAAGCATCATTTTATTATTTGAAATGTTTTGGAGGTCAAATACAAAGAAATGGGATGTGATTAGAAGTGTTTTTAAAATGTCCTCAGTTTTCTGACACCATTAATGTAGTTTGGGGGGTAGCAGTTTCTCATTTTCATGTTTTGCTGCAGCTCTTACAAGTGTATGGGAACAATAGTCATTTCAGAGTCCCAGGAATCAAGCTAAAATGAGCTGCATGATAAAGTGGGGCTGTTTAAACTAAAATATTTTATTTCAGCAATCAAGTACCTTACCTTTTGTCACTATTATTGGCTACCTCTATGAAAATCATCATCTTTAAAATATGTTTGATTGGTTCCAACCAACTGGCCAAACTAAAAACTCTTTTGAACCTCCAAGAAACGTTCATAATTTTTTTTATGTGTTCTGGAAAATATATTTTGAAAATTTAGCATTGATTGATGACAACATTTTGCAGAAAGAAATATCTCACATACCTTCACCAACCCAAATTTTTCATACTGTGCTGGGAGGGAGCAAACAAACATTTTATTTTTATTTTTTTAAAATTTTTTTTATAATCAATCATTGGGGCATATCCTTACTGTTTTATATTACACTTATATTATATACACATACCATTAGTCATTTTAATCACTGATAAAATTTCATGATTTCTGAAAAAAGTACCAATCGAGATGGTTTTGAATTTTTAAAACCTATAATGATAGCATTCACAATGTATTTAATTTTGAGGAAAAATTATGAACCCTCATGAACATTGTGAAATTAATTTGCCTACCTACAGTATATTGTATTTTATATGTGTATTGAATGGGGGACAGAGTAGAGAAGCAACCCCAGGCAGTGATTTACTAATAGTAGAATTATAAGAATACTAAATGATGTAGGCCTTTCAACTGCAGCTATAAGTGATTCAATGTAAAGAATAAACTCATTAAGCAAGTACGTTTTTAGCGTTTCCAATACCTACTGAACCACCTACCCTATATGTCATTCCTATAAATGATAACTCATTGCTTGACCCATATGGGTGTATTATGCAATAAAGAATAATTAACTATTGCATAAATCAGAACTAAATAGTTGGTCATTTTTTACACTTGAGTTACCTATCCTTAAAACACATTATCGTACAAATCAGTTGTTAATAATTATAATTTTTGATGATTTAATTAAAGGTATATATAGTTTATAATCTTTTTTTCAAGAATTTTATGTACCTATAAATCTATTCATTCTTTTTTTTATTTTTTTTACTAAATAAGCAACTTGAAAAATTAGTTGAAAGGCCTACATATTTTAAATGGTGTTGAACAAAACATGCAGGGAATGATAAATCTGTATAGAGTCTTGTTACGGATACTGGGCTTATAAAAAAAGTAATTATTAAAATTTCACCTGCCAACTGTGTGGGAATTATTATACTGTGCAGGAGACCCACTTGTTTCCCTGGGTGATGACAAATGATAATGACTGGGGTCTTTGTCATTTCTGCACCAGGGTGAATATTATTATCCTCTTTTTATACTTTGTTTTAAATGAAACAAACCTTATAGGCTAGCAACCCACTACAACAATCGTGGGATAGGCACATTTATCTGAAGCTATTTAAACAATTTTAATGTAAAATGTAAAAAAAAAAAAAATTGATATTAGATGCAGTACTAGTACGTATCAGTGTAATTTATGTTCTTACAACCTTGGTCCTTGTTTTAAAAAAAATGAGAAAAGTAAATTATTGATTGTTTACAGAGGAATTTAATGTTAAGGAAATAAGATTTCCTGTATGTTTTCAATTTTCCCTTAAGTGTAATGTTATTTAATTATATTAAATGCACAGAATTTAATGCGTTACTTGAAAATTCAGGGGCATGTGACTTCCTATATAATTGCCTTTTAAACTTGAACTAAAAATATTTTGATGTACTAATTGAAGTTTGTTGGTTTCATTTTCCTTTTTTACTCACCAGTTTTTCAATCATGGTGTACCATTAATGTATATTAAAATTTGAGATAAAGATAAATTAGTGGTGTAATTTAGAAATAAATAAATACATATGTAAACACGAATTAATATATATGGAAGGATTCCATGGAAAAATATTCATAATAGTTATCTGAATGAAACCTGTTGTAAAACATATTGTGTACATATTGTAAAGCAAGGAGCATACACTGTACTTGTCCATATTTTAAGCTAGGTTTGTATTTGTTATGAAATGAAAGTTCACTATTAAAACGCTCCAGATGAATTGCATATACTTGTATTACAGAATACGCAACAAATGTTTTTAAATGACTTTGTAAGAGTTTCCCCTTTATTTAAAAAAAAGAAAACTTGTAGATTAAGAAACAAATATATTCTGTAGATATATAATGATTAAGAAAACATTTCTAGTTCTAAAATCAATTTACTATATTACATACATCCCCTGTGTAAATCCTTTACCTATCACCAAGGAAAGGGCATATCACCAGGGAAAGGGCAAAGGATTGTCAACAGGCAAAGGGCATGTCAAAAAGGAAAGGGTATATTACATAGGAAAAAGGCAAAGGATTGTCAACAGGGATTGGGAAAAGGGCATATCAACAGGGAAAGGGTATATCACCAGGGAAAGGGAAAAGGGCATATCAACAGGGAAAGGACAAAGGACATATCACCAGGGAAAGGGCAAAAGGCATATCAACAAGGAAAGGCTTCAAATTTAGGGCTATGAAACAGTGAGCTGAGGGTTAACCAATGTCTAAGGTGGCATCCATGGGGTCTGTAATTTTATGGTCGTATTTTAAAAATATTTTCCTGTGTCTTTCACTTCTAATGCCAGGCACTTGGCAAAGAAACACTTTTTACAGTCTCTACTTTACCTTTGGTGTGGTCGTCTTTGGTTTGATGCAGTTCCAGGAATTAAGATCCAGTTTAAACCTCCCTGATCTGTCCTATCGGGGGCTGTTGTTGTGGTTATAGTCTTGAATGGAAGTTGCTTTTCAACGCTGAAAATTAACAGGAAAAGAAAATCAAATGTATAGGAGCTTCATACGCTCATCATTTGAAGGTCAGGACTCAGCTGGGGAAAAAAAAAAGATACTTGTACATTTTACTCTTTTATAGTGTAAATAATTTTTCTAAAAAAATTATTGATGAGCCAGCTTTTGCTGGATTTAGAACTTGAATGGTTATAACAAAGAGAGAGAAAAAAAACCTAGCCATGATTTTTCTTATTATACCCCACGCAACTAGTTGCGGGAGGTATAATGTTTTTGACCCGTCCGTCAGTCAGTCATATATATACGTCAGTCAGTCCTCTTTTTTGTCAGCGCAACTCCTCATAAACCGCTGCACAGAATTTCGTCAAACTTTGCAGGTATTTAGGACACAATGTGTAGATGTGCATATTACCAGGAAATTCCGATTCCATTATTTTTTCCGGGAATTTCCTCACTTTTTAACTTAGGCATTTGGCCATACCTTGAATATAGGGATGAACAGTTTGTCAGCGCAACTCCTCATAAACCGCTGCACAGAATTTCGTCAAACTTTGCAGGTATTTAGGACACAATGTGTAGATGTGCATATTACCAGGAAATTCCGATTCCATTATTTTTTCCGGGAATTTCCTCACTTTTTAACTTAGGCATTTGGCCATACCTTGAATATAGGGATGAACAGTTTGTCAGCGCAACTCCTCATAAACCGCTGCACAGAATTTCGTCAAACTTTGCAGGTATTTAGGACACAATGTGTAGATGTGCATATTACCAGGAAATTCCGATTCCATTATTTTTCCGGGAATTTTCGCACTTTTTAACTTAGGCATTTGGCCATACTTTGAATATAGAGGTGAACAGTTTGTCAGCGCAACTCCTCATAAACCGCTGCACAGAATTTTGTCAAACTTTGCAGATATTTAGGACACAATGTGTAGATGTGCATATTACCAGGAAATTCCGATTCCATCATTTTTTCCGGGAATTTTCGCACTTTTTAACTTAGGCATTTGGCCATACTTTGAATATAGAGGTGAACAGTTTGTCAGCGCAACTCCTCATAAACCAGTGCACAGAATTTCTTCAAACTTTGCAGATATTTAGGACACAATGTGTAGATGTGCATATTACCAGGAAATTCCGATTTTTATTTTTCCTCGGAATTTCCACACTTTCCAACTTAGACTTTTTGGCCATATTTTGAATATAGAAATGAACAGTTTGTCAGAACCACTCCTCTTAAACTGTTGTATATAGTTTCTTTTATCCCAAAGAGTTTTGCCTATTATTCAAGAAAATTTCTCCCTCCCCCCCCCCCAACCACTTCAAATTAATGTTTGGATTTGTATAATGCCAAGAAATTTTGATTCCATTGTTTATCTAGAAACTTCATTCCACATTTAAATGTCCTCATATGTAAGACATTTTAATGTGAAGATTTTTTTGCAATTATTGCCCTTTTTGATCTATACTATGTATTTAAAAAGCACTGTGCCTTTAATTATGTGTTTCACCGTCAAGTTTTGGGGGAGCGTGGGGTATGTGAGCTAGCTCACTTTTTCTTTCATTTTGGAACTGTGTCAAGGACTCGAAGAACATTGCAATGTGCATTTTATATATATACATTTTAATTCCATATTTTATTACAAGAAATGTGATTTAGAGGACAAATTAATGATTGAACTTGAACTTTAAGGCTCCTACTCCTTTAAGGAGTGGAACAAGGCTGAAAGCAGGTGCTTGTTCGACATACAGGAGGACGTTGCACCTTAATTGAAAATTTTTCTGGGAAGGTTTTGTAAATGAGATTTATTTCCACAAATCAAACCTTTTTAAGCTTTTGAAATTGGTTTGAGGGAAATTATATGCCTGTGGGAAGTAAACTGGAGTTATGACCACATACACATAAATAATGTCTTAAATGACCCATTATTATTAAAAAAAAAAACTTCAGAAATGCCACTTACATAAGATGTGACGTCAGAGTCTAGATGTTCCAAATGTCACTGGCAGTACAGATCGAGAAACAGATCTAAATTAAAAGTGAATGTATTACTTGTCTGTGCTCTCTCTAACAGTCGCACCATCAGCATATTATAATTCTTAACTTTCCTTAATAATCTGGATTTGTTTTTGTTTATTCAAAATAATGCTCTAATTATTAAATATATATAGGTCTTCATGAAATCAACAGCTGGGCACATTCATTATACTTTAATTGATTCATTACACTTGTGTCAGTACTGCACAGTATCTTGAGAAGTTGGTAAAAGCGAAATTGCAACTTAAAACAATGAACAGTGATGACTACTAAAGATTGCAGTGAGTCCTGCTGGAAAACATAATGAGCCATGATAATTTTTTGCAAATAAGTCCAGAAGGTTGATTCTAACTTAATATATTTGATTGACAACTAACAAAACATTTAAATGCCTCGGTAATTTGAATAATTGAGATATTTCTAATATCTGCATACTTGCATAGCTGCAAAATGAGCATGGGCATTTGGCTCATCTATCCCCCCAGATTCTTTTAGTTAGGATCGGGACCTGCATCTTTAAGCTTTTATTTTGATGGAAATACTGGAAAACTTCACTGGAATCATGTCCAAGCTGACATCAGTGGGGGTCTGAAACATTCATTTTGTAGCCTTGACCTATATATAGGAAAGAAGAAAAGAAAAAAAATATTAGACTTGTTTAATGTAACAGTAATGTTAGAAAAGTAAGATATTCTTTAAAAAGTTTTGTTTAAAATAGTACAGGACAGATGGGTGGCCATGTGAACTGGCTGACATTGACACTGACTTATTATTGCTAAGACATGAACCAGGAGAAGCACTTAAACTTTATTGCAGTCACTGGCAAAGATTCTGTCTTTTTCAAAATTTTATTTTTGGCTGGAAATAAATATGGTATTTTTCTCAAAGTTACAACATTGATTTTGACTTGCAGATGCAAGATATTTGAAACATCATGGGATTAACTTGGTATGACATTTTCTGCAGCTGCAATTTAAAAATGTCTGCTATTGACTTGTTCAGTTGGGCTGATTTCAGTATGAATATTCTAATTTGCAACAATATATGGCATTCTTGAGAAAGTTCTTGTTCCAGAAATTCAGCTTTCTGGAGGACAGTCTATGAAAATTATAAATAAATGGGTTTTTGTCATTACATTTTCCTTGAACCTGACAGCGTTTTTTCTCTCTTCCAGCCTCCAGTATACCAAGTTATGATGTGATAAGGAACACCCCTAAAGTAATCAAGGTCGTTCAGAATTCTCCCCTGTTACTGAATTGTACAGACTCCACAACATGGTGGACGGAATCCGGGGTCAGGTTCACATGGTTCAAGAACGGAGAGGTCGTGACCTCGGACAAGAGAGTCACGGTGAGCCAGAACGGATCTTTATACATCCCCAGTACGAAAAAGAAGAAAAGGCGGGGCTGGAACGATGAAGGACTGTACGAGTGTCACATGACCGTCTCCATGGGAACGGTGATTGGGAGGAGTGTCAAGATAAAGATAATACGTTAGTATTTATGTGTTTGTGTGTCTGCCTTTATGTCATAATGTGTGTATTGCAAACCAACAGGGCTGGCCAATTTCTATATCAAAATATGGATCATTTATTAAAGAAATAAGCAACAATGTTAAAAAGTTCTCTGGGAAATGAAGTTTTAGTTGGTCATGTGATCAATCCTGTGAAGCCCAAAGGGCTTCTCAGCAGATTTGATCACGTACCAACGAAAAGTTCATTTCCCAGTTAACTTTTTAACATTGTTGCTTAGTACTTCTATTTACATTTGAGACAAATAAATTTCGAGTAAAACTGCATTTATTTCATGAACTGGCCGCCGCATTGCTATGTTGTGACGTGCAATGACCTAGAAGTTGTTTGGTCTCGAAACGAAGTTCATCTCGCTCCAACATTTGAATGTTTACATTCATGTTTAGCAGTCCAGATCAGGAAATATCTGTATATAGTGAAAGAACAATGATCACTGCTGAGAATAATCTATTTCATTAGTTCTTAAAACATTTGAAGTCAAAAGCGGTGGTATCACCTGTTTTTATTTACATGACTCCAAACAAAGGAATTTCGTGTTAAAAAGGTAAGAGCGGTTTTAGGCTAATATTATTGTATTCAAAACCTTATTCATTGGTTGAAAAATATCCATATTGTTTATCATTTTATCTTTTTTATCATCATTAACTTAGAAATATTCCAAAACAAGTTGCACCATGACAGAAATATGTAGAAAAAATATCACCTCGCTCTGTGATTTGGTCGGGCTATGACCTCTGACCCCCAAATAAAATTCATACAGAATTGAACATATTTTCTTCTTCAGTAGGTTCAACTAAGAAATATATTTGCAAATGTAAATATTTAGAAATAGTATAGTAGTGATGGATAGATGCCCTTTTACTTATTAGCTTGAGCTTTTTGGTTAACCCTTTAGTTCGATCGCTTGGTAGGACACTCGCCTGATATGCCAGAGGTCCTGGGTTCAAATCAATTTGGAATCACATACATACTGCTTATATTGAAAATTTGGTTTAATTTTCTTAATCATTTCAAATGATGTACAGAATTGAAAATATGGCATATAAGTCTTTTCTCAGTTGTGACTGCATGCAACAAAATACCATATAATGGGTATTTTTTTTTACAGATACGACACTTTACAAAAAAATTCAAATTTAAAATTTCTTTACTAGATGTTAAAGTAGTATCGATAAAATGTAAATGTACAAACTAATTGGTAAGTTGGTCTGTCATCAAGCTAGTTTTTAGGCGACTTAAACCTTTAATTTTATAGTAAATAACTGTGTTATTAAAATAAATTGCTTACTGGGGGGTATGAATTAAATGTTATTTGAACACTAACTTAAAGGTAGTATGGAAACAGAGAACTTATTTTCTGATTCCACCTGACAATATTTGAAACTTTAAATAATTATTCGTTATATCAATCTTATATAATAAAAATACTTTAAATCTAGCAATGCTAGATACTAAATTTTTAATATCATGGTATTTAGTTAAAGAATTTTTGCTTTTTAATACAGCAGAAATTAAAAATGCAGAAGTTAACTTACTATACCATTAAGGGATCAAATTGCAAAAATTTCCATCTATAGAAAACACTGATTATCCAGTATTAATTAATAAATCAAATGAAACCATTCTGTCATGTGACATATCAGGCAGCACGATTTGGATCATATTGATTGCCCCCCCCCCTCCCTAAATAAAACAACAAAAGATTTACAAAGATGTTTTTTTATTGTTTAATGTCCCTCTCAAGAATTTTTTTACTCGTGGAGATGCCACCACTTGTCGGTGGAGAGCTACAAATTTTGTCCTATAATCGGCACATAAGGCCATTGAACAGGGAGGGATCTTTTTCATGCTAGCATCTACAGCGACACGGGACCTTTGTTTATTCAGTCTCATCCAAAGGACCAGTCTCCACGTCCCACAGTGGATTTCAACCCAGTACATAAGGATCAGATCCTTACTCTACAACTGTAGAAAAGACGCTCTAACCACTGCGCCATGAGGACAACATTTACAAAGATGAATTGCAATTTTATTTAGTACTTTCATAAAGTAAAGCTTATAAATTTTTGCAACAGCTTGTCTGAATGAAAGTAAATAGTTTTATCTTGTTGGGTCTCAATCCAAATTCAGCTTTCATCTCCAACTTCATGTAGATATTGTGTTTGAACAAGTGAAATTGACAGGCATTGATTTGTGATTTATGATCATGTGTACCTGCTCATGCCTTTTAAGAGATGATTATAAATTATTTTTATAAATAAATCTTTATAAATTCTCAGGTGCCTTACAGAAAAGAGAAAGATTTGTTGTATACACCTGAGTCTAATTTTAGACCCATGCTTACGTCAGCTGCACTTTTCATATCCCTGAGTATACATATTAATCAAAGCAAATCTTCAATCAAGGGCAAAAAAAGTGTAAATTCTTGATATTTGTAACTATATTTGCAGCGTTGACCATTTTATTTCTGAATCATTATTTTGAAATAAGAAGCAAAGTAAAATTAAGGCAAAAAGAAATGGCTGCAATGCAACACTCGGAGAATCAGAAATAAAATACAGGTTTTATCAGTTATTCCACTCCTGTTATTAAGTTGTCATTGAGATAATGTAAATAGAATTCATAATATCTACTTAGCTACAGAGACTCAATTAATGCTTTCAAACATTTATTTCTTTTTATAGGCTTTAATTGCCATGTTTCCATAAAATAATACCTCTGAAAGAAAAAAACCCAAATGCTAACTGACCCAGATTGAAGAAAAGAAATTTAACTGGCATTAAATTATAAATCTGATCAAAATATAAAGTAAGAGTTATATTTCTGACCCATACCCCTACAGTGGGTCATCAATGCTTTACAAAGAAATTCAGGATCAGAAATAAAAAAAAAAATTCTCAAATTTTGTTTTCATACTATTTGTTAGATCATTGTTGTTTTGTTTTGAACATATTTTATTGACATGTAAAAGGGATTGGACACAAGTTCCAAAAACTTAGATAGCCTTCTCCCATCATTGTTTTCATACAAGTTTGGACTTTATCTACTTGATCAGTAGGGCTCACAGTGTGTATGAGTGTTTTAAAGGGGATGCTCACTCCTCCAGGGCACCTGATCCCACCTCTGGTGTTAACAGGAGTCTGTGTTTTTGCTTGTATAAGACTTGTTTTGTTTACAGATTTATGTGAATTATCACTGTTCATTATTTGAACCTTTTATATAATCATTGAAAACAAATATATTCCGTTTTTGATTGGAAAAAAAAAATCAGGCAGCTATATGGAAGTACACAAATTATGAATTTTGACAAAGAAGTTTTTGGGAATAAATGAGTTTCCACTGTATTTCAAATCAGTTTTATTGCTGAACAGATTGATGAATCATGCATGGGGGAAAAGCAGATATTACGTTTGTCTATTATTATGTATTAAAGGTACCATCACACATTTATACAGTGAAGCTGCATTGTATAGTGGGATGATAAATTCAGCTTGTTAGAGTAATAAACCTTGGTAAAAAATAGTACAAAAGATAATAAAAGTTTAATATATACTTTTAAGAGTGCTGATGCCAGAAATATAACAGAAATTGTAGCCTAGCAAAGTACGTGGCCTGTCATTTCTAATCTTCCAGCAACAAAATGAATTAAATGAGAATAGTTTAATTTTGATAGTGACTCAGAGATTTTTTTTTTATGAATAGAATATGTACTATCAGTCAGTCATCATTGCCCTACAATACATTACATGATACATTCACAATACAACAATGGAAGTATCTTATATATATAAATATATATTGCATTTGGGGAATTAAAGAGTTATTCCCCTTGATTCAGAGCTTTGCAAAATACATGTATAACTCATGTTTAACTATATACATGTATATGTTAACATATTATAATGAAGCAAAATTATTTTTAAATTTCATATTAATTTTACAATTTTTGAAATGAAATTAGTAAGCAATAGATTGAAGGGAAGAATGCATAAATTATTTGTACCTATTTGTTAATTACAAAGAGTTGCATGTATTCCTTCCTTAGGTGCAAGACACAGTCTTCATAAATAAATAACTGTTGATTTTGCAATATTAATTTCATCTCTCATTTCAAAAATCATTCATTCAGATTATGAATTCCAGAAGTTCGGTTTATTGAATACAAAACAAAACAATTGAATATTAAATTGATTAAGTATTAAAAGAAAAGAAAGCTATAATACTTACATTTCTTGGAAACTGTGAGTCAAATTTCTCTGTTATATTATAACATGGTTATGCATTCTACAAACAGTCCAGCTGAAAGTGTCTTAATTTGTCTCAGGTCAGGAGATCAATGGAACAAAAGTCAGATGAATTCTACTCAGGTACCCAGGTATTACAGGTGTACAAGTAGGAACAGGGGTGGATCCAATGTTTTATTTGATTGTTTTATTTCAGTCAGTTTAGAGATCTAATTTTAATTTTATAAATTTCATAATATTGATTTACATATCAAATGGCAATAAACTATCACTATTACAGGACTTGAATAGATTGGGGCAATTTTTTTTTAGGAATGGAATCTATAATTATTATAATTGTAGACATTTTTTAGTAGCTCACTTGAGCCAAAGGCTAAAATGAGCTTTTTTGATCAAAATTTGTCTGTTGTCTGTTGTCATTGTTGTCATGGTCTTTATCATTGTAAACTTTACACATTTTCATCTTCTCCAGAACTAATGGGCCAATTTTAACCAAACTTCAGGGGACTACAAATCCCATTTCTGGGGGCTTGTGAATTTTAGGGGTGGGCAAGTGAAATTTTATCATTCACTTGCCTGTGGGCACGTGAATTATCAAAAATAAAATCAATATTTAAAGCTGGACATAGGGGCCTGCATGATCTACTCAGTATTTGTCTTCCTCTTTTTTTAAATGTTTATAAAAACAGTATGACTTTATGGTAAGGCAAGTAAAAATTCAAGTATGAAAAGTAAATTTTGACCATGTTAACTTGCCCTTGGACAAGTACATGCTTTTAAAATCTATTTTTTAGCCCTTGGCACAGAGTATTTTCAGGTAAAGGGGATTCAAGTTTGTTTAAATGAAGGGCCACACCTTCTTCCAAGAGGAGATAATTACAAATTGGTGAAAAATTAATGGCATCTTTTAAAAATCTCCTCAAGAACCACTGGACCAGGAAAGAAGAAACTTATGGGGAAATTGAATGGATTATTAGCTGATTTTTGTGCAGATTTTTTTATGCCCCCCTTCGAAGAAGGGAGGGCATATTGCTTTGCTGCTGTCTGTCGGTCCGTTGGACTGTCAGTCCATTTAGTTTCCGTTCATTTTCTTCACAACCGTTGCACATACTGAAATGAAATTTATTATACAGGTTTATCAGGTGAATATCTAGGTCAAGACATGTTTTGGGTACGATCGCACCATTTTTGACAGAGTTGTGCCCCTTGGACTTAGAAAAATTCCACTTATGTGCAGTTTCTGTTCATTTTCTTTGCAGAGGTTGCACATATTGAAATAAAATTTAGTTTACAGGTATATCAGATAAATATCTAGGTCAAGTTCTGTTTTGGATACGATCGCACCATTTCTGTTAGAGTTATGCCCCTTCAACTTAGAAAAATTCCAATTACCATATTTGCATTTTCCATTCATTTTCTTTGCAGAGGTTGCACATATTGAAATGGAATTTAATATGCATATTTTTCAGCTAAATATCTAGGTCAAGTTCTGTTTTGGGAACTCTATTCAGCTCTATTTGATAGAGTTATGCCTCTTGGACTTAGAAAAATTCCACTTACTGTAGACGTACTTTTTTCCACGGGGTCATAATTCCGCGGAATCTCAATTCTGTTTAATCCGCGGGAAGAAAATTAAGCTGATTTCTTAGATTGTCACTATATGCCATACATTTACATTAAGTATGCTTGGACGAATTTCCGCGGAAAATTTGTAACCACGTATATAGCCTAAATTAATACCACGCGGGAAAAAGTACTTCTACAGTATTTGCAGTTTCCGTTCATTTTCTTTGCAGAGGTTGCACATATTGAGATGAAATTTAGTATACAGATATTTCAGCTGAATATCTAGGTCAAGTTCTGTTTTGGGTGGAATCGCACCATTTTAGACAGTCTCAGTAATGCCCTTTTGGACTTCTAAAAAATCCTGTTTGGAGGGAGGGGGGCATAAACATTTTACAAACATCTCTTGTTTAAGACAAACTTATTTGGGCATATTTTCATTTTGAAGAGCTAAAATTAATTTCATTGTTTGTTGATAGGAATATCAAAGGCATTTATCAAAGTTCCCAAGAGTCAGGTGGTGGATCCGGGAGGGGTGGCCAGATTTGAGTGTCGGCTTAAAGCCAAACTGCCCACCCAGGTCAGAAAGTACATCTGGAATAAGAACAGGAAACAAATTACCTCCAATGACAGGTATGAAATAATACACATTAATTATACTTATATAATTGGATGTGCTCAGCATTTTAATTTTTGGAATTATTCTTGATTATTATATTTGATTATTCTCTTTTGGAATACTGTAGACGTACTTTTTTCCAAGGGGTCATAATTCCACGGAATCTCAATTTCTGTTTCATCCGCATGTAGAAAATTACACAGATTACCTTAGGCTCTCACTATATGCCTTACATTTATATGAAGAATGCTTGAACAAATTTCCACGCGAAATTTGTGACCACGTACATAGCGTAAATTAATACCACTACTTCTATAATAATTATATAATTAAACAAAAAAGCCTGGACACCACTATATATAAATTCCATGAGAAAAGAAATTTTACATTCCAAAGTTGGTGAATTTAATTCTTTGTGTATATGGATTGATTGATTGATTGTTTACTGTTTAACGTCCCTCTTGAGAATTTTTCACTCATATGGAGATGCCACCATTTGCCGGTGGAGAGCTGCAAATTTTGTCATATACTTGGCACTCAGGGCCACTGAGCAGGGAGGGATCTTTTTTGTGCCAGCACCTACTGCGACACGGGACCTCTGTTTATACGGTCTCATCCGAAGGACCGGTCTCCACATCCAACAGTGGGATTTGAACCCGCGACGTAAAGTTCAGTCCTTACTTCATGACTCTAGAGCAGACACTCTAACCACTGTGCCATGCTGGTGACTTGTGTATATGGATCTGAAGTAAATTACAGAGAAAGCTCTTTTTCTGCAGGGACTCTTATAATAAGCTTGGAAAAATTCAAACTTTCAACTGGACCAATTGAATTTCTTTTCACATATTGCTTTGTCGGTCAAATCTTGGAGAGATTTGAATGTTTACCTTTTTTGTGTGAATTTAATTAATATATTGTATAACTTGTAACTGGATCGGATTTGACAATAATGTAATTGCCTTAGCATTGTTCTGTAAAAGTAATCAAAGTCTGTACTAAAATATTTATTATAGGTACACAGAGCTACCTACAGGAGTCTTACAGATATACGACGTACAGACCTCGGATCAGGGGTCCTATTCCTGCTCAGTGTTAATTACACTGGGGGAAAAAGATCTACACCTGGCAGTGTTCAAACATAGCAGAGAGGCAACACTCACAGTACTCAATGAAACATCACTGGAAGGTAACGTATATAAAAAAAACTCAATAACAACAAAAGTTAAACAGCCCCTTGTGTCACATTATTCTAATATGCCTTTGGTGACTTTGTATTGGAATGGTGCTGTTTGAGAAATGGTACATAGTAAACTCAAAACAACAAATTTTATTAAATTAGATAACTCCTCATCCACATATTAGGATTGTCTCTCATAAAGTTCTAAGTTTCACTTGGCACTAGCACTTAACAATCTTTCAGGATTGCCTCTCCTGACCTGTTTCTCCCTCTAAACTTCCTTCCCTCTAAGTATTGATTGTCTCCCCTCACAAGTTTTTAGCTCACCTGAGCCGAAGGCTCAAGTGAGCTTTTCTGATCACATTTTGTCCGTCGTTCGTCTGTCTGTCCGTCTGTAAACTTTTCACATTTTCAACTTCTTCTCAAGAACCACTGGGCAAATTTTGACCAAACTTGGTACCAAGCATCCTTGGGTAAGGGGAAATTTAAATTGTTAAAATAAAGGGCCAAGTCCCCTCACAAAGGGAGATAATCAAGAAAAGACAAAAATAGGGTGGGGTCATTAAAAAACCTTCTTCTCAAGAACCACTGGGCCAGAAAAGGGCGGGGCCACAATGGGGAATCAAAGTTTTACATAGAAATATATAGGAAAAATCTTTGAAAATCTTCTTTTTAAGAACTACTAGGCCAGTAAAGTTGAAACTTGTGTGCAAGCTTTTTGGGGTAGTGTAGATTCTTAATTGTTCAAATCATGAACCCGGGGGGTAGGGTGGGGCCACAATAGGGAATCAAAGTTTTACATAGAAATATATAGGAAAAATCTTTGAAAATCTTCTTCTCAAGAACCACTGTGCCAGAAAAGCTGAAACTTATGTGGAAGCATCCTGGGGTAGTGTAGATTCTAAATTATTCAAATCATGACCCCCCGAGGTTGGCGGGGCCACAATAGGGAATTAAAGTTTTACATAGAAATATATAGGAAAAATCTTTGAAAATCTTCTTCTCAAGAACTACTGGGTAAGAAAAGCTGAAACTAATGTGGAAGCATTCTGGGGTAGTGTAGATTCTTAATTGTTCAAGTCATGACCCCTGGGGGTTTGGCGGGGCCACAACGGGAATCAAAGTTTTGCATAGAAATGTATAGGAAAAATCTTTGAAAATCTTCTGATGAAGAACCACTGGACCAGAAAAGCTGAAACTTATGTGGAAGCATCCTGGGGTAGTGTAGATTTCAAATTGTCCAAATTATGATCAGTGGGGTAGGATGAGGTCACAAAATGTATTACAAGGGGGAAATCTGGTAAAGAACAGCATTGTCAAAGCTTCTCAGGTGAGCGATGTGGTCCATGAACCTCTTGTTTAAAGTGACAGAATTTCCTCCCCCTCATCGCCCATTCCTCTTAGTTTCTAAATTGCCTCCCCTAATCAGTTTCTCCTTCTAAATGTAGGGATTGCCTCCCCTAACCAGTTTCTCTTTTAAGGGTCAGGATTGCCTCCCCTAACCAGTTTCTCTTCTAAGGGTCGGGATTGCCTCCCCTAACCAGTTTCTCTTCTAAGGGTCGGGATTGCCTCCCCTAACCAGTTTCTTTCCTCTTATTATCAGGATTTTTTCCCCTCAACAGCCCCTTCTACTTAACATAGCAATTGTGTTTTGTAACTGACAAAATCTAGAGATTGATTGCCACTGTGATATTTACGTGCTCTTTGATTGGTCAGTAGCCAGCAGCTGGATGTTGAGTCCATTATTGATAATGTTTAATAATTATATGCCTACTGTACATAATGCTCAACACATCAAAGAGCTGGTGACATGTTGTCGATACAAAGCATTTAGAATCAACAAAATGGAGAGCTCCCAGATATTATTAAGCAAATATTACAGGGCATTTAATTCATATTCCCTTGCATATTCAAAGTATTCTCACAAAGCAATTATTGGCAAAAAATCATTTAGAATGCATTTCTAAATTAATAATTGATCAAGCCAACATTTGCTAATTTGATTGTTTCTGTGAATTTTATTGGTAGAGACATGATAGAGGTCAAATTTCTTTTTTCTGAGATTACTTGATTTAAAATCAAAGATCAAATTTACAAACATTTTACAAACATCTCTTTTAAACTGTGGGTGAATCAGTGAGAAAGCTAATGAAATGGTTGACACTTGTATCTTAAGGTGTCAGATAAATGATATTCCAAAAACTTAATCTCCTCATCAACTTGCTAGATCAATACTTAATACTTGGTGTTTTTCAAAAGGCTTGATTTTAGTGTATGATTTACTCAGAGAGCTTAAAAACCTGTAAAACAGATTATTTAAAACATATTTATTGAACAATTACATGTAATTAAGCATCACATGGAAATCTAAATAAACCAAACTATTTCAGAGTCTGTAAAATTAAGTAATTTTTTACTTTCTATGGTTCAAAAAGACCCTTCTAGTAATTTATGTCTGATGGGTTTTACAATTTGAAATGAGTCATTTTAAAATAAGTATGTCTTCTTATTTTTTGTCTTTGATTTCACCTATGGTAGACAACATTATTCCTTGAATTTCTATTGAACATTATATACATTCTACATAGCTTTGAACATTCTATAAACCCCAAGATCATTATAATCTTGAATTTTTTCTAATTTTTTTTTTCAGCAAAAAAATCTAAAGCCCCAAAGATAGTGAATATTAGTGCCAAAGTCAATTCTACAGTGGGGAGCTCAGTCATATTGGAGTGTCAGGCGGACGGACATCCTACACCCACCATATCATGGCAGAAAGTCAGTGAGTATCCAACTTTAAACTTAAGGTGGCTTATGACAATCCTACACCTACCATATCATGGCAGAAAGTCAGTGAGTATCCAACTTAAAACTTAAGGTGGTTTGTAACAATCCCAAACCTATCATATCTTGGCAGAAAGTCAGTGAGTAAAGAGCTTTAAACTTGAAGTGGCTTGTAACAATCTCAAACCTACCATATCTAGGCAGAAAGTCAGTGAGTATTAACCTTAAAACTCATGGGTGTTTGTTAAGCAATCCTACATCTACCATGTTATGGCACGAAGTGAGTATCCAACTTAAAACTTAAGGTGGTTTGTAACAATTCTACACCTACTATATCATGGCAGAATATCATGTAAGACTGTCGGTGAGTATCTACCTTTAATCTTAAGGTGATTTGCAACAGGAAGATAAACTCTTCTAGGAATTTATGCATTAACCATTGTAAATGATATTAAAAAAATTAATACAGTTTAGTCTTCCAAAATTTAGCAAAAAGTAGAAAAAAAAGTTAGTTGATGGTCACAAATCGAAATATGTTGCTAATGAATTAATTTTTAACATTTTAGACATAGATGACCAGACAAAAGAGGAACCAGTTGAGGATGGACTCAGAGTGAGGCGAGTAGGGGTGGGAAACCTTAAGTTTACAACAGTTGTAGAGACAGACGGTGGATTATACAGATGTGTGGCATCAGCTCCCGGATTCAACAACAGCACAGCTCTAGTCAAACTCAATGTCAATTGTAAGTAGAATATGTAACAAAATGTGTTTACTTTAGAGTATGAATTTAATAGCAGTTGTAATTGTTGGTCCTGGGGTATATGCCTCTGAAACCTGTCATAATAACTAATCAATTTACATTAAAGATGTGTGCAATATGCTGCAAAAATAATTCTTTATAAAACTAATAGCAGTATATACATACAGTTCAAGACCATGGCAATTACATGGTACATTCAAATTAAACCATCCAATCACCAGAGAGACGGTCACCAATATGTGTCAGTTTGTGGGATGAGATTATATAATACTAGCTGGGAAGGGGGCCAGTTAAGTGGAGCCGAAGTGTCAGGTTCTTTTTTCTTATTACTTTATAGTCTCTGATGAAAATTAAGTCACCAACTTCTTTTTTTTTATGTAATATCTGAAGTGTTATAATGTTATATAATCTGAGTTACATAATAAAAGACCAAGATTTATCCTTTGGGGACACATGTCTTCTAGAAATCTTTCAAACAAAATGGATATCCAAGACCAGCATGCATTGAAACAGTGTGGGAGTGCCTCACAGTGTTGAAGTGAATTCAGTGTTACTATATTAAAACTATTAGATATTATGACAGAGAGGTCTTGGTTAGGATCAGTGATATTACGTCTAGATTTGGTGGAGGAGGACAGCTTATAGTCATGAAGTCTGATGTAAACCTGACTTTCATTTTAACATTGTGGTTCTGGTCACTCAGCGACCATTTTGGTTTCGTTATTTGACACATTTACATGGAATTTTTATTGTAAACATTTAGATTTCTGAGCCAGAGGGTTTATATAATTTTCATTTTCTACTAGATTGCAAATGTTTTAAAGATCTATCCTAAGTATGATCTTCAATTTTTTTTTACTAAATTTCTATACATGGGTTGATAAAACTTTGTGCATATAAACAATTATAATCGATTCACAGAACATTATGATTAAAATGAATGCCATTGGATAATGTTTTTGATTGCTGGTATAAAGATTTGTATTTTCAACTGAAAGTCTTTAACAGGTCCAGTCCAAAGACTATTTCTACCTACGTAGCTATTAATAGCTACCTAGGTATTTAAAGCTACCCAAAGTAGCTATTTTTACCTTCTTTCTGCTTTACTTGCATTTTGTGGCCAAATGTAGGAACAGCGCAACATGGTGAGCACAAAATTTCTTGATACAGTCACACTGATGATGGATATGACAAAAATTTGGCAAAAAATGATTACTTCTTATATTATCAATTTTGCATAGAAACTAATGTTACAGTAAAATTGCCGATTCAGGAAGTAATCATTTTTTGGCCAAAATTTTGTCGTATTCATCATTAGTGTGACTGTGTATCAAAGGATATGGTGTTTACCGTGTTGCGCCGTTTGGTCTTTGGGCCACAAAATGCAGAAATTATAAAAAGTAGGTAAAAATAGCTACTTTGGGTAGCTTTAAATACCTAGGTAGCTACTAATAGCTACGTAGGTAGAAAAAGTCTTTGGACTGGACCTGTTTAAAACACTATACAGTAAAACTCGTTTATAACAAAGTCACATGGACCAGTAAAATTACTTCGCGATATCCGTAATTCATAATATTCGTAAAAGGAATTGCTTTGATTTATATAGCTGGGAATCTAAAATAACTTCGCTATATCTGTGATCAATTCGCTATATCTGTGTTCGTAATAAACGAGTTTTGCTGTACTGGTAACAGCTGTCTCTTCATTCTTCCTTCATTGTAATCCTGTAGATCCCCCGACCCTGGTGAAGACCCCCAGCAGTGGGGACTTTCATGTGGTCAACAGAATCAGGTTATACTGTAGTGCCCAAGGCACACCCACCCCCTCCCTCACCTGGTACCACAATGGACAGAAACTACAGGAGGACGCGGGGCACATTGTGGTGAGGTTCTTCTGTTGAACATCTTTCCAAGTATATATTTCATTAAATAAGATCAAAAGACAAAAAAAACCAATAGCTTTATATGTACTGTATACAGATTTATTTTCACCCCGTGTTATTAAAATAGGCCCTTTCACACTTCCAAGCAATTTTGCACCATTTTAAATTCAGGTCACCGTTCTTTTTAGATTTTATACAGTGATATTTGAATTCACCCCGTTTTAATTCGCCCTCAAGGGATTAAGGTGAAAGGGGCGAAAATAAAATGGGGGCAAAAGAACAAGGTTCACTTTTGCTTTATTTGGCCCTGTGAATTTCTGAAAAAACTGAAACTGCATAGTTTTAATTAACAGTGCATTGAATAATCACTTAGATCTTTGGTGACTGTGTATCTATAAAAAATGATGTTATTTTCTGTCTAGTCAATGCATTATAATGTAACAAAATGCATCAGTTTCCTTATATTCTGAAAAAGTCTACAAAATGGCCAATTTTTAAAGGTATTTTTTGATATTTAATATAGAGCGCAACCTCTGATCTAAAATGTGCAACTACTAAATGATAGAACTCTGTCTGGGATTAAAAGGCATGTTTTATTTTTTAGATCAGAGAGTGTGCTGATACTATTTTTCTTCACTGAAAGTACTCAATTATACCTGTTTACCTTAAAATTCAAGAACATTGCAATTTCATAAAGCCTTTTAGGAGAAAATTTTTAATAGGAAATGAAACCACTAAGTCTCTATTTAAGGAATAACTGTGTTATTTGTCTATTTCATGATGTAATCAATCGATTGGCTTGCGTAATAATTTGCATAAATGCCGAAGGCGTTTATGCATATAATTATCACATCATCTTCATGAAATCGAAAAATAAGACAGCTAGTTATTCCTCATATACCTGTTTACCTTAAAATTCAAGAATATTGCAATTTCATAAAGCCTTTGAGGAGAAAATTTTTAATAGGAAATGAAAGCACTAAGTCTCTATTTAAGGAATAACTGTCTTATTTGTCTATTTCATGATGTAATCAATCAATTGGCTTGCATGATAATGTGCATAAATCCCAAAGGCGTTTATGCATATATAATTATCACATCATCTTCATGAAATCGAAAAATAAGACAGCTAGTTATTCCTCATATTTACATGCTCTTGATTCCGCCAATCCACATGCTACAAGCCCTGCTTCTGTCTAGCTATTTGTCCGGCCCTGCACATGATTTTTTTTTAACCGCGCCTATTGATGAACCAGTACATTCATGTAGAAATAAAGTACATTAACTATTTGTAATTTTATCTCAGACAAAGACATTGGAAATGTAAATATTTTATTTCAGTGCGTCAAATGGATAATTAATCAAATGTTAATCAATCAATTGGTATATCTAAAGGGCCATTTTATGCATAAAGTGAACTGAGCTCTTTTCCCTGTATACAGTATTTTCTTATAATTATTGATTTATTATACAGCTAATAAATAATGTATGATAAAAAAAAAAACCCACTAAAAGTCTAAGAGATTTAAGCATTCAGTATCATGGTGTTTTTTTAGATGCTTAGTTTAGATTATGTATATAAGTAAATTTTTAAAATACTAGAGGTTGCTGCTAATTGTTGTAATACAATATGTTGACAGTTTCAGGACAGCAATAGTCAGCTGGTGATAATAGAGAGTCGGGTGTCGGATTCCGGATTTTATCAGTGTATTGCTGAAAATCCCTACGGATCTGAAACAGCCACAGCCAGGATCCAGGTCACACTTGGTGGTAAGTTCTCATTGAATCATTGTTTAGAGGTCAAATTCCAGCTGTAATGTCTGATATATTAAACAAATAGTAAGTCCCATTCTCAGACATTTACTAAATGTTCTATAAAATAAGCATGATACAATTAATACATGAATGGATTTCTATGCATGATTTCAAATAATCAAGTAGATAACTGAAATAAAAAAGAAAACAAGAACCCATTCATCTACTTTATTTTATTTTACAAGTACAGCCTGATAGTTTGAATATTTTAGAAATATTTTGCATACATTCATTCCACATATTTTCTTTCATTTGAAATATAAATACTATCAATTTTTACTTCAGATCAAGAACTCAGGATGGGTTAGAAATTTTTCCCTATATTTTGAATTGATTTTAGTTCCTGTAAATCTATGTCACAGAGAATGCCCCTATATTGCGTATAATTTGTAGTTCCTTTGTTAATCACTGTTGATGATTTGTTCCAGAGAACGCTCCCTCTCCTCCGAGGCTGGTAGAGGCGAGGCCAGTGTCTGAGTCCCAAATCCTCGTGACCTGGGAGCCCCCGGTCTGCTGTGATGTGTTTGTGTACACAGTTCACTATAATTGGATCGTCCCTGACACAAATGGTCAGTACCATTTTATAAGAATAAGAAGAGAATGTAATATTTTCATGACATAAATTACAAAATCCTGTAACCTTACTATCCACAGAGGAGAGATCGGAGCAGATGGTAGACCAGAGTAACCAGTACCTGGTCCAGCAGCTGTTACCATACACCACTTACCACTTCTTCATCCGCGCCTACAATGGCGGCTTCTCCAGCAAGAACTCCGACGTGGTGTCCGCCACCACCTTACAGTCAGGTCAGGTCCCTAGCAGTTTTACATCCCCTCCACCCTCTCTAATGATGACCTTGATATTCCAAACATGTTGCATATCAACTAATTTTGTGTTAGATGCTTTATGCATTTTTATAGTACACAAGTAGAACACATGATATTAGATTGCCTGGAAGTAATGCAACAGCACACTTGTAACTAGCAACGAACTTTGGAAGATTCTTGAAAGTTAAATGATTCAACTAAGAAATGTGTAACAAATATCAAAGTGCTAAAATTTGATTGAACAAATCAGTTGGATAGGTATAATTATGTAGAAAAAAATGTGCTGCATTTTGAGTGCACTGGTTTATGTACTCTATTTAGTATTTACAGTAATTTTGATGCATATGAATAAACTCAATATTCTTTATTCTTTGTTTAATTAACAGTTCCTAGTGCTGCCCCCAGAATTCAGACCTCAAGTCTAAAAGTGGGAACCATCACGATAGAATGGTCCCCATTATTAAAGTCAGAACGGAGAGGGGTGATCTCAAGATACAAAATCTACAGTCAGTTACATGGAGAAAACTCACAGAAGGTGGAGGAGATTAACAACAACACACACACTTATACCATTAAAGGTATGACAACACACACATACCATTCATATTGAAACAACAAACTCACACCATAAAAATAGAGACAACACACACACCATTAGAACTGAGACAGCACACTCACATCATTAAAATTGGGACAACACACACTATTAAAATTGGGACAACACACTCACACCATTAAAATTTAGAAATCACACGCACTCACACCATTAAGATTGAGACAACACTTTCACACCATTAAAATTGAGACAACACATGCACTCACACCATTAAAATTGAGACAACACATGTACTCACACCATTAAGATTGAGACAACACATGCACTCACACCATTTATGACCATTAAAATTGAGACAACACATCACACCATTTAAATTGAGACAACACTTGCACTCACAACATTAAAATTGAGATAACATACACTATTAAAAATGAGACAACACATGCACTCACAACATTGAAATTGAGGCAACACACTCACACCATTAAAATTGAGACAACACACTCCCTCCATTAAAATTGAGACAACACACTCGCTCCATTAAAATTGAGACAACACACTCGCTCCATTAAAATTGAGGCAACACACAACATTAAAATTGAGACAACACACTCACAACATTAAAATTGAGACAACACACTCACAACATTAAAATTGAGACAACACACTCACACCATTAAAATTGAGACATCACACTGGCTCCATTAAAATAGAGACAACATACTCACTCCATTAAAATTGAGACAACACACTCACAACATTAAAATTGAGACAACACACTCACAAATATTAAAATTGAGACAACACACTCCCTCCATTAAAATTGAGACAACACACCCACTCCATTAAAATTGAGACAACACACTCACTTGATTAAAATTGAGACAACACACTCGCTCGATTAAAATTGAGACAACACACCCACAACATTGAAATTGAGACAACACCCTCACACCATTAAAGGTAAAAAAAAAAAACCCAGCTGATATCAGGTACAGAAAACAGCAAACATACTATTGTTATGTTTATGATGACAACAAAACAATTATTAAAAGTTTAAAGAATGCTTGTCTCATAAGAGAAAAAAGATTTTTGGATGGCACCTTGTAAATTGCATTTCCTTGGGTATCAGTAATTTATTATGATTAGTGTCGTAATTATACCCCCCGCAAACGAAGTTTGGGGGGGGGGTATTATAGGAATCACCTTGTCCGTCTGTCTGTCCGTCCGTCCGTCTAGCTGTCCGTCTGTCTGTGCAATCGTGTCCGGTCCATATCTTTCTTACAGAGGGACATTAGAATCTACTACTCCACACAAAGATTGCCCATGACCTAAGGGTGTGTCATGACCTTGACCCAAGGTCATTTGGGGAACTTCAAGGTCACTGGAAGAAAAATGTCATAATTCGTGTCCGGTCCATATCTTTTTTATGGATAAACTTGACAGGTTCTCATTTCACACAAAGATTGCTAATGGCCCAAGGGTGTGTCATGACCTTGACCCAAGGTCATTTGGGGAAGTTCAAGGTCACTGGAAGAAAAATTTCATAATTCGTGTCCGGTCCATATCTTTTTTATGGATAAACTTGACAGGTTCTCATTTCACACAAAGATTGCTAATGGCCCAAGGGTGTGTCATGACCTTGACCCAAGGTCATTTGGGGAAGTTCAAGGTCACTGGAAAAAAAAATTTCATAATTCGTGTCCGGTCCATATCTTTCTTATGGATAAACTTGGTAGGTTCTCCTTTCACACAAAGATTGCCCATGACCCAAGGGTGTGTCATGACCTTGACCCAAGGTCATTTGGGGAAGTTCAAGGTCACTGGAAGAAAAATTTCATAATTCGTGTCCGGTCCATATCTTTTTTATGGATAAACTTGACAGGTTCTCATTTCACACAAAGATTGCAAATGGCCCAAGGGTGTGTCATGACCTTGACCCAAGGTCATTTGGGGAAGTTCAAGGTCACTGGAAGAAAAATTTCATAATTCGTGTCCGGTCCATATCTTTTTTATGGATAAACTTGACAGGTTCTCATTTCACACAAAGATTGCTAATGGCCCAAGGGTGTGTCATGACCTTGACCCAAGGTCATTTGGGGAAGTTCAAGGTCACTGGAAAAAAAAATTTCATAATTCGTGTCCGGTCCATATCTTTCTTATGGATAAACTTGGTAGGTTCTCCTTTCACACAAAGATTGCCCATGACCCAAGGGTGTGTCATGACCTTGACCCAAGGTCATTTGGGGAAGTTCAAGGTCACTGGAAGAAAAATTTCATAATTCATGTTTGATACATATCTTTATTAAGGAAAAACTTACTTCTGAAAAACCCAGTGGGGGGTATTTTGTCCCGTTTGGACAGTTCTAGTTGTGATTTAAATTTTGGGATTCATGTGTTTTTCTGTAATTCAAATATTCTCCTCAGAAATAAGATAATTGGTATGTTAATATACAGTGTACATGTTGCAAAATAAATTCACAGGCCCTAAGGTTTTTGAGTTGTTATTATGTATTGAGGTATTATAATGTATTGAGTATTTATGTATTAACCTAGTGCAAGTTTTCAAGCATATTTACCTCTGAGCTAATCCCTCCTTAGTTTATTTATAAATTTTCAAAGCATTAATTTTTCAACAAGCCTATATGGGTTAATCTTACAAAAAATCACATAAGTGTTGTAAAAATAGTAACTTAAGATGATAAATAAAGAAGATTATGTCATAGTTGTAAAAATGTGTTACGCTGAAGATTTTTTTGGAAGGTTCTATTCTAAAAGAGCATCTACACAGCAGTAAGACTACACTTGAGATTATATCCTATCCAGGCTCTTGAATGAAAGTAAACACATAGTACTAGAAGAGTAATGCAGATTTTATCATGTATAGCTACTCACACCAAGGAGGAACTTTATATAATTATAATTAGGGCCCCGCAAGGATTTGCAGGTGCCCTATAGTAATCACTCTGTCTGTCCGTCCGTCTGTCTGTCTGTCTGTCCATCTGTCACTCTTCCGTCCACAAATTTTCTGTTTTTTTCTAATAACTTTTTTTATGGTTGCCCAATCAAGTTCAAATTTGGTATGGTAGTTCAGTAGGCAGAAATACATATTTTGATGCTAAGTTTGGTTCTCTATGTCTTCTGGTTTGGAGCTGGGGTGGTGGGGTAGATTCCTTAACTATGCATAAGAATGAATAGGCAACTTTTTTATGTTCCCATTGTAAACTGAATGCTGCTAGCTGCAGTGGTGGGGTAGATTCCTTAACTTTATATAAGAATGCATTGGCAAAGAGAGATAACTGCTGAAGATGTTCCCATTGTAAACTGAATGCTGCTATGAGTCCCTTGGGATTAATTAGCTTTCCTCCTGAAGAAAATCCAGAGCATTATCTTTATCTGTCACATTGAGATGAATTACCGCAAATAAAGTTGGTTTTGAAGTTAAGTCAATTTGGAATGCTTTGGAATGAACACTCTGAAATGTGGATTTAAAATAAAATGTAAATTTTTATAATTTATTTTCGTTAAATAGTTATGATTTCATTGAATTCTAAAAACAAGAAATAGATTAAAGAAGATTTTTTGATTTACTTTTTTTTTTACTTTATGTTAATTCAAGAATATTATTAATTTTTAAGGTAGTTGTATAAAAACCCCACTCTATCATTAATACTGAAAAAGTTCTTATTGTAACTTTAGAAAATGAGTAGAGAGGTCCAATTAATCCCTTGGGATTAATTATCTAGCCTGCTGCAGAAAATTTAGTAGGCTTTTCTTTATCTGTCACTTTAAGATTAATGAAAATATTTGTCTGCAACTGCTGTTTGTTTGAAGTTATATTTGCATTCATTGAAATGCTGGCATTTTATATAAGATAAGCTTCATAATTGTTTAAATATACATTCAATGTTAAGTTTTTCTTAACTGCCTAATGTAAATACAAGGATATTATTTTTCAGGTTTTTGAATATTCAGGAATTATTTTAAAATTTTAAGAATACAGTTGCTGTTGCTTATTCTTCGTACATTTTTTAATCATTCTGTAAGCTGCACCCTTTTAATTCTACCCCATGGCGGGGCCCTTGCTGACTGGTCAGTTTTCTAGTTCATGGAGTTTTCAAAACAATTAAAATATTAATTTGAATTGATCATTAATTAATCAGTCTATGTTAAATATTTTTTTTAATATCTATAAACCTAAAATTGCACACCATTTTTCGTGATTCAGGTCAACATCTGTTAAAGAGAATGTTGTTAAGAATTTCCTAGCTGGTATTAAAGATCTTTAAAACCTCAGATGTTTAAAGAATAAGAGCCTCAGTGTATAAAGCTAAGAAAAACAAACAGAAGTCAGTGATAATGTTGAGCTACTGGCTCTAGTCAGATGTTAAGATGACTTGCGTTTGACATAGGAGTCAGCAGTTTAATGCCTGACTTAATCCTTCTGTGTGCTCTGAGCTCTTAAGGTCGAACAACCTTGAACAAGACTCTTAAGGTAGTATAACCCTGACAAAACTTTTAAGGCTACAACCCTGACAAGACTTTTAAGGTCATGCAACCTTGACAATTAAGAACTGATTGCCTCCTGTTGACTTAAACACTGCCGGTTGAGGTCAAACAGCTAGATTTCTCTGGTTTAACATTAAGAGACCTGATATCCCCTTTTAAACTTAATGACAAGTTCTGGTGTGTATTTGAGGGCTGCTGACAAACAAGGTCTAATATACCCAGCACAATTAAGACTCACTTTTTACTTAATTATAGTGATTGTATTATGTCATAGCTCTTTTTCTCCTCTTTCACTGGCACACCCAGAAGTATAAATCTTGTCATGACCCACGGAGGCCTTGCTGAGTATAAGTTTTGATGGGTAGCTGACTAGAATGAAATATTTTGGTTTTCAAAATTTAAGTTTCATATTTGCTTAATTACAGATGCAGCATGATAAATGGAAATTTAAATGGCTCTAATATAGCCAGGTTTCTGTAATACTTGTAGCTTACAATAGTTACTTACAATGGGTGTTTGTTAGATGGGTCAAAGGTCGTGTCTGGGGTACCCTTTAATTGTTGTTCCCCTGCGTGTTTGATTTCACTATTCTTTGTAAGGTGTATATTGATGCCTCCCTACTGATGTTCAATACAAAAGCTGCCACACTAGTAGATGAAAGATGCCAAATAGAAATCTTTAAATGGCCCATACAGGGGAGTGTACAAATCTGTCACTCAGTTTTGGAAGACCTATATATATATATATAAATAGGTCAATTAACCTGTAAAAAATTTACACAAGGGAAGTCTGGTGATTTAAATGGAGATAACCTAATTTAAAAAAAAAATATGTCTAAGTTTCCTGTCCTGGTAGAAGGCAGTAGATGGTATACGATAAACAAAATTAATACATTTGTTCAAGTCCTAGCTAGCTATATTAGGATAAGAAATTTTATTTGAAAGAAACAAAAGCCTATTAATAATTAAGTTTTCTGTTTTGTCTTCAAGCAATGCATTGGAGATCTGAGTAAAGAAATTAAAACAATTCATGAAAAATTGAAAGAAGTAGAAAGACCTTTTCTCATTTCAAGTGATTTTTTTGTTCAAATTAGCTAATACTTCAGAAAAACCAATTTAAGTCTAAACCTCATATCAATTTATCTTAAAAGATCGATGTCAATTCTGCATAATCAGGGGATCAGGACAAAACTTGTGATTTATATATGACTGTGCACAGTACTTATTAAAGAATGCATTAGACTTGTAAGGTTATTGATGAAATTTCTTTTTGATCCAAATGGTTGATTTTACCTTTGACAAATGTTATCTGGAATTTATTAAACCCAATTTCATCAAATATGCAAGTCACAGGGAATTTAGAGCAAGTAGGTTAAAAGTAAATTGATAAAGCATCTAGGTTATAAAAGCTTTTAAAAATTTCACTGAATCTTGATATTTGTACCCAAAGTTACAAGTGCCTAACCTAGGGAATACTGGAGTCAAAGGCAGTCATTTTGAAGTTAAAAATATATAGCTTTACAAAAAGATGTACATTATATGTTTAAAACTTCCATATTGCATGGAATAAATTGCAGTGCTAATTAAAGGCTAGCTCTCTTCTCCTTTAAACTGTATTTTTTCAAACAAAAATCTTTTTTTTTCTATTTTCAATTTATTTTGCATAAAAAACAAACATGTTTCTCATTAACAGACCTGTTTACTCTCACGATTTCGCCGTATTTTGTACGGATTTTTTGTCCAAAATACGTCTCACGTTTTGCTATTATGAAAATACGGAAATAAAAGATACACTTGTTCAGAATTGAGAAGTTAGTTTTCCTTATGATCTGTCTCAGTTTCATGCTTTTTTATTTGCTAAAAAAATTCAAATTCAATTATGTCGGTTTCCCAAAACGCCGTGGTATAAAATGATCAAGATCATGTTATTTATTTAACCATGTTTTAGTAATCAGAAAAGCATTTGTTCTCCATTTATTATATATGTAAAATTGATGGAAAGTGAAATCTTACTGGCAAATGCCAAATCTCACGGACAAATCTAATCAAAAATACTGAGAGACAAGGATATGGGTAAACAGGTCTGCATTAATAACAAACTGCAAGTTATATAAAATAAAACACTAGCTTTGTTGTTGATGTACTTGTAACATGTTCTGTTTTGTTGAATTGGACAGTAACCTTTATTTGTTGTTTGACCTTCAGGTCTCCTCCCAGACCGAGTATACAGTGTGAGGGTGCTGGCGGGGACAGAGGTGGGGTACCCCGTACTGAAGGACGACAGGTGGCCCTGGGTGTCACAGAGGACTCTCTCCAAGGACAGCACCTACCCTGGTAAGGAGGGCACCACTTCAGCTACAGTGACACATTTGTCAGATTAGTTGTGGCACTATATTATAGTAACTCTAAAATCACTTTTTTTAGGGGAGTGGGGCAAATTTTCGTGGTTTGAGGGAAAAAATATTAATTTAAATGTAGGGATTGTGCCAAGCCAGTAAGGAGGACACCACCTCAGCAACAATGACATAAGATGTGGCACTACACTACTATATAGTCACTTATTTTAGTGGGGGTAAATTTTCATGGTTTGGGGGATCTAATTTCAAGGTTTAAAAAGTAGAATTTTTCTACATTTATAATTTTGCATTTCCTGGAAAATAGAAATCTGTCTCTTCATACCCATGAAAACTATGAAAATTTTCAGCCCAACAAAAATGGGGGACTTCACACTTTATGGGTCATATGAGCAGTATATGCATTGAAATGTTTTTTCTGTGATGGTGTACAGTTAAGTGCAAGTATTGCATTAATAGTTTGCAGGCTTGTAAATAAAAATGGATGGGGCAAACAGGATGTTCCTAATTTAAGTTACTGTGCCCACTTTGGTTTCCCTGTAGTTGTTTGAAAAATCAATTGTGTTGGGATGATCATGTTTGCACAATGCTATTGCCTTACAAATATTTCAGCTCTCCTGGAGTCAAGGATCAAGTCAATTAAACTCTGTTGATAACATTTGAGATGGGAATAGGGTAATACAGCATCTTTGCACCATGTCACTGTGTGGGATAGAATTACTTTTTGGTAATTGTCAAAGGTCATTGACTTGGTTTCTGTGCTATACATGTATAATACTTGATATCACAATTACTTAACTTAGCTGAACTCTTTCTTTCGCGATGGAGGTAGAAAACGTCTGTTGGCTGGGGGCAAATGTGATATTGAATACAATGCTAGGTTGATCATTGTAGAATTTATAAGGATCAACAGATAAGTAAAAAATCATCGTAGAATACAGGTACTAAACAATAACTGAACCACCCTACAATCAATTTTTGAGAGGAGCCAATCCTAAAATGTTACAATTTTTACGATATTTTTAACTAAGTGGATTCTTCTCATTAAATTTTCATTGAAAATCGTCATATTTTAAAGCTGATAAAATGTTCTAAACTTTTCTTATTTGACAATCTTCAAACAATGACATGTGCCCCAGAGATTTTAGAGCTTTCTTAGGGTCAACATTTTCTGCTGCAAATAAAATTTTCATAGAATATTATAAGGGTTTGAGTAGGGGTATTTATTTTGCACCATTGTTTGTGTTACAGGAAAAGGAATGTTTCATTTTCAAAGCTATATAATTCTCTTATTTATATTTTTGGCTACAATTGTTAGTCAACAGGTCAGGTCCTGCTTTCTGAAAGCTATAAAGGCCCAGTAAAAATTTTGAAGACAACACCTATTAAAGTCCGGAGCAAAAATAAATAAGTGATGTCCAATTATTTTCTTTAGACATTCTAAAATTATACTTATGAGTAAAAAAAAAAAATAAACAAATATGATAATGTGTAAAAATTCTTGAAACAAAAACCAAAAAAGTGTAATGAATCTTGTGTCTATGAACAATTCATAAGCTTTTTAAAAAAATATGTCGTAATTAAGGTGCATAAAATTGTCACTAGTGTCATATTTACAAAACTTTAAGTATTGAGAGATATTACTGTCATTACATTATAGAGCAATTATCGCTGATGATCAGAATATCCTATTCCTGGTATAGCTGTTTAGTTCTACACCTTATATGGCGATTTAAACTTCAAATTTTAGTCTTAAAGATGATACTGATTTTCTGTGACCCTGGCAGTTCTAGGCCAGTATGCTAATTTTCCCATCAATTTCTTCATCAAGTTCATTAAAATTCCCACTGATGTGTAACACAGTGGCCCATTGAGATAATGAAAGGTTAAGAACAATTTCCTCTCTAATTGCAGGCCAACTCTTTAAGATGCTAGATAATGATAACAGTGACATTTTTTGAAGAACTAAAATTTTGATGGCATTTTTATAACCCTTCATCAAGGAAAAAGACAGTCGTTTATAGTAGACAGTATCATATCACACCTCTCCGCTGGAGTTTCATGTAATTGACATTTTGAGTTAAGGTTGATACAGAGGACACTCCCGGAAATAGTTTTACGATCGCGAGGAATTATCGTCCAGTAAAATTGTGTTGTTATTATCGCAGGATGTGAATGAAAAGGGACTTTTATGTGACATTTTAACCACAGAGAATCAATCACTTGCATCACTAGGCTTAAAAAGCAAAAAAAATTGGAGGATCTTTTTTTAGAGTGAAAGTGTAATGACAATAATTATTAAACTAATACATTACTGCATGAAATAAACATTTGTCAATGCTTTGTCAATAAAAACCATAGCAGTAAAGACTTTATTGAATTCATAACTGAATGGTATGAATAAGTTATTAAATCATCCATTGCTCCATGTCCATTTGTCTGTCTGTCTAGCTGTTTGTCAATATGTCGATCTGTAATCATTTTACCTTTTCACAATTTCAATTGTTTTCTTGACCACTCAGACAAATATCATCAAAGTTGGCACAAAGCATATTTAGATGATGAGCCCAATTCAAATTCTTTAAATGAAGGTACATGCTAAGTAATTCCAAGGGAAGATAAGCAGGAAAGGTTAAAATAGATGCTTCTCAGGAACCAGTGGGTCAGAAACAATCAAATAGCTAGAACCTGACCCAGAAGCTCAATTAATGTACTGAAATATTGTCCCTATCAAGTTTACTAGCAGACATGATATACTTTATTTCAGTAATACCAGCTCCTGATTTAGAGGTGGTGCCCCTCAACAACTCGGCAGTGTGGATCTCCTGGGAGGTCAGTAACTCCTCTATGGAGGTCCTGGGTTACCAGCTCTACATCAAGAGAAAGATAGGACCCCCACTGACCAGAAGTTTACAGCTCCCCAGGGAAACCAACTTCACTGTCGTTAACCATCTCGGTATGTTTTTCTAAAGCAAGTCTATATGAATGAAAGATTATGCATTATATTTCTGCAGATGACATTTTTGGAAGTGAAAATAATTTAAGTTTTGTAAACATTTTGCATAAACTTTTCAGCTCACTTCTTTAACTCGTATGATTTTCCAGAAGAAATAGGCTCTTTTAAGTAAAATACAAATTGAAATTAAGCTTCCAGCGCAAAAATTGACAAAGAAAAACTTCAACTTGACAAATTTACTAAAGAATGATATACTTTTATGTCATTAAGAGCTATCTATCTCATCAGAGTATTGATCAACCTTTATAAAACAGGATTAGGAATCTTAAAATAATATTTTTTATTTTTTTGGTCTACTATACAGAGAATCGTATTTACTATGAGGCGGTGCTGGAGGTACAAGGAGAGAATGAGACTCTGGGTAAGGCCAGTCGACTATTCCAGGTCCTCAGTCCCCTGCGGTCCCCAGAACCTCCCCCGCCAATGGATGTCAGGGTGTTCGCCAAGTCGCCTCAATCAGTGTCCCTTAACTGGACCCGCCCTCACTGGGAGGCGGGGATCAGCTACTACACGGTCCGCTACCACATCAGTAACGACGACCGCAAAATCATGTACGAGAGGAGGTGGGTGTTACTGAGTAAATATAATATCTAATCCAGTTATCACAATATAATGTCTGCAAAATCATACTTATACTGGTTTATAATATGATGTTTATGTTTGACAGTGATTCCCAGAACTATACACTACAGGACCTGACCCCCTACACCACATACACTGTCTCTGTGAGGTCCCACTCTCCACAGACCACCGGGCCATTCAGTACCCCCCAGGACATCACCACTCTAGAAGATGGTAAGTCTACCCCTCTCAAGTTACTGTAGTCTCTCCCATTTAGGGTGTACTACCCTGTCTTTCACAGTGTCAAAACAGTTGTCACTACCTTTTTGATTGTAGTTCCCAGCCCCCCAGAAGACGTGACCCTGTACCCCCTTTGGACATATAGTTTATATTACCTGTTTTGATTGTAGTCCCCAGCCCCCCAGAAGATGTGACTGTGTACCCCTTCAGTGACAAATAAGTTGACGTTACCTGTTGATTGTACTCCCCAGCCCCCAGAAGATGTGACTGTGTACCCCTTCAGTGACAAATAAGTTGACGTTACCTATTTTGATTGTAGTTCCCAGCCCCCCAGAGGACGTGACTCTGTACCCCCTGAGTAAGGACGAGGTCCAGCTGATGTGGAATCCCCCCATTAAGAAGAATGGGGTCATTGTGTTCTACATCATACAGTATCACCAACGCCAGACTGACCCAGACTTCCTGTGGAGCTCCATACACAGTAACGGTCAGTAGCTCAAAGGCTCAAGTGAGCTTTTCTGATCAAAAATTTGTCCATTGTCTGTTGTCGTTGTTGTGGTTGTCGTCGTCCTTGTCGTCGTTGTTATAAACTTTTCACATTTTCATTTTCTTCTCAAGAACCACTGGGCCAATTTCAACCAAACTTGCTACAAAGTATCCTTGGGTAAAGGGGATTCAAATTTGTTCAAATGAAGGGCCACGCCCTTTTCCAAGGGGAGATAATTATGAATAAGAGAAAAATTAATGGCATTTTAAAAAAATCTTCTTCTCAAGAACCACTGGGCCAGGAAAGATGAAACTCATGTGGAATCATCCTCAGGTAGTGTAGATTCAAGTTTGTTCAAATCATGACCCCCTGGGGTAGGGCGGGGCCAAAATGGCCGATCAAAGTTTTAACATAAGAATATATAGGAAAAATCTTTAAAAAATCTTCTTCTCAAGAACCACTGGGCCAGGAAAGATGAAACTCATGTGGAATCATCCTCAGGTAGTGTAGATTCGATTTTGTTCAAAAGATGACCCCCGGGGGTAGGGTGAGGCCAAAATGGCCGATCAAAGTTTTACAAAGGAATATATAGGAAAAATCTTTAAAAATCTTCTTCTCAAGAACAACTGGGCCAGGAAAGATGAAACTCATGTGGAATCATCCTCGGGTAGTGTAGATTCAAGTTTGTTCAAATGATGACCCCCGGGGCTAGGATGGGGCCAAAATGGCCGACCAAAGTTTTACATAGGAATATATAGGGAAACCTTTTAAAATCTTCTTTTCAAGTACTTCAAAGCCATGATTAGTAATATATGTAAAGAATCATCCTCAGGTAGTGTAGATTCTAGTTCGTTCAAATCATGATCCCCTGGGGGGTTAAAATTCCAAGCCCCCCCCCACCCACCCAACCTCAGTAAACTTTCAGTTCTGATCTGATATATGCTTTTTCCTAGCCGATGTGCTCAGGTGAGCGCTGTGGCCCCTGGGCCTCTTGTTTAAGACTGATTTCAAATTTTCTTCGAGATTGAAGATAAATTTTTCTCCCATAAATTTTGACTAATAAAGTTAATACGATGACAAATTTTGTAGCAATTAAATTTTTAAAGTACTGTTTTAAGAAATGGAGGAAAAGATTTCATAGTAAGTCAGTTTTTGGCTCCTCATTTCAACAATATTAACCTCATAAGGGGGAAATGAATTGTATCCTAATGGAATAATAATATTAGACAGTGTCGTGTAATATGTATACATTTAACTTTTGTTATACAGGTACAATGACCCAGGCGGTAGTGAAAGACCTGACCAGCACTGTTTACTTCTTCAAGTTGAGGGCGTGCACCACCGCGGGTCAGGGGCCACCCTCCAATGTGGTGAAGGTGGTGCTCAGTCCGTGTAGTGTACCATGTGACGGACATAACTCCTCCCCTCCTGTCTGTAAGATGTCAAGGATTTATGGATCATTCTAAAAATTTGATAAAACAGTTCCATGTTAAATTGCATTTTTGCTAAAACATTTTAGATTGGTTGCAAATTCATTATAAATCTGTCACTTACTTAAGATCCAAATGAGAAAAGTATATATCTTTTATCAATAAGAATTAACACAAAAATAAAGTTATTAAAAATGTTTTAAAGAAAAAGGTCTCAATATAATTAATTGGCAGAATTATGTTGGTATAAAGTTATAAAAAAATGTTTTAAGAAAAAGGTCTCAATATTATTTAGTGGCAGAATTATGTTGGAAATGATTTATTAAATGTACAAAGAGAGATAACTCCTGTCAATATTAGATTAAATATCACTGATTTAATTTAATATGTTGTTGCAGCCCCCAAATCTAAGCCCTCAGACAGTTTTCTGAGGGACCAGAGGTTGGGGATCGTGGTGGGGTGTGCCATCGGACTGACCAGCATCATTGTGTGTATCCTGGTCATTGTTCTCAGACAAAGGTCGGTCGCATTGAGATATTTTTCTTAATGTTTTAATATAAATAATTGTGAACAAACAATTTATGTTATATATTGCAATAGGTAATCTGTCTAATTAATATGTTTACAGTAGAATACATTTCAGTATTTTTTCTGCACATGCATCAATTGTTCCATTTGTATAAACTTTGGTAATACAACTACAATAATGGATTTTGGATTTAAATGTCAATAAATATTATGACGGGTTATTTTGTCAAATGTACTAGGAATACTAGACTTAATTGTAAACTCAAATTAGCCAACAATGATCATTATAATGCTGACCGTCCATTGCAGACATTACGCTAACCTGTACCGCCACTCCACCCAGACCCTCACCGTACCTGACATCAGGTCACGGTACCAGCAGCAGAGTTACCAGATCCACGAGGCCCACAGACTGATAATGATAGAGGCACAAAATAAAGTAATGATAAATTTCTCTCTTCTTATGAAAACCCAAACATATGTTGTCTTTTTGATGCTAACAAACCTTGTGTTTCAACACAATATAATTTCATTGATGCTTATAATGATATTCTTAAGGACACTCTTTCCTACAGTGAACAAAAGGTCAAAGTTTTTTATCATTTGGGTGTCTGAGAATGCGGTTTCAAGTTCATTTACATATTGTTTTGAAAATCAAAGACATCATGTTTCTGTTTCATCCACATAAGGAAAAAATGTGTCTCAGGCAAGCCTTGAGGCCTTCAGGCCTATTTAGCTCAAGTTTAATGAATTATGCTTGTTTTACAGGATGGTGGTAGAGGTGGGGCTGTTTTGACCAGTACTGGGAAACTCCTAGCTTTGACTTCCACAGCCAGACAAACAGACAAAGTCAACTCAGACACAGAACAGGAGGTACTGTACTGGAAATTTTGCTAATAAAATTTTCATATTGTGTACGAATTCTGCTACCTTTAACTAGCTGGGCCTTCAGACTGGTCTTCCAATGACTATTTGTTATTTATATATATATATACCAAAAAAAAAAAATTAATTGGCACTGCTTAATCGAAAATGGCTGATATGACTACTTTGTTCGCCTAAGTTAAAGGTTTAAGTGAGCTTTTCTGATCAAATGGCCTGTCTTTCAGTCTATAAAATTTTCTTCTTTAAGGTAAAATCTTTTCTTTAAAAATTTAAATCAATTTAATATATTAATATATCTCCTCCCTCCCTAAAATAAAATTACACACCTGAAAGCTAATTAATGAAGAAAATCACAGCATTTAGTTAATATACTACATGATTGTTTGATTTGTAGCCTGGGGAGCAAGCCTGTCTTCTTTGGAACCAACAGGGACTACATCATGCCCACAGTGATGGAAACCAGTCTCTGTCCAATGACAGTGGAGCTAGCCTGTCATGTGACATAAGGGGTGTGTCTCCAGAATCCTCCAGTGAAAGACATGCTGACAGCACCTGGGGCTCATCACGGGGTAACCATTATTTGGGGGAGGCCTCAGGAGGGGCATCTAAGAGGTCAGTGGGTCGTGACATCAGTCCTGATACAGACGTGGGAGATAAACTCTACAGTGACACCATGATGAGTCAGAGTGATGAACTGCTGAAGAAGATGATGCAGGCTACGTCAGCAGACCCTCTATCACTGAACACAGACAGACTGAGACAGGATTCATCAGTGGAACCACTAACACAGAACACAGACAGACTGAGACAGGATTCATCAGTGGAACCGCTTACACAGAACACAGACACATCCTGCACAGCTTCTACTTCAAATCTGAACACCTCACCAACAGAAGCTGAATCAACAGAGGATTACTCAGACTCTATAAACCAAGGAACTCTTGAAGAGGACAACGTAACACAGTCCTTCAAATGTGGGTCAAAGTCTGCTGACCATAGGTCACAGTCCACTGAACATGTGTCACACTCTGATGAACATGTGTAACAGTGGACTGTGCCTGGAACAACTGCTGGTAGATTTAGATATGTTGTCACCAAAATGTTGGTTGCTGGTAATGGTTGAAATAATTGAATGATTCTTTTTATCCAATCAAAACAGGCTGTACTAAGCCTTTCTACCTCCACAAAATACAAGCAGGATTTTTTAAAATTTGATATATACAACTATTTCAGTAGCTTCACATTTTGCTCTTTTTCTCTTAAATAGAAGCATTAGGTTGAACATGTTGAACAACCTTCAACTCGAGATTATTTAGCAAGTTTGTTTTTTATTTAATATGTAAATGATTTTTTATCAATTCAAGTAATAAAAGGCTTAAAATTGATTAAGAATTTTTAAAATATCTTTTAAAAAAAAACACTTCACAATGACCTTGAAATTTTACTTCATTGGAACTTGAATTGTTAATCTTCTGTTCAACTTTTGTAAATTTTTTAATAATTAATAATACGTTTTAGAAAGTGGTGACTTTTGATTTAGGTAAAAATCCATGGTTAGAAAAAAAAATTGTGTATCATTAGTAAGGGAAAAAGAAACACATGTTCAAATATTTAAAGAATAAATACAACAAGTCTACCTAAGTAAAGTTAATATACCTCAAATTGTCAGGTACGTTTTACCTCAATATATTGTTATCATTAAGGCCTTACGTCAGAGCCACAGATTTCAGTCTTGTCAGCTGAAGCAGCACCTGTCATTAGCTTTATCTTTTGTGTATTAGTACACGCCAAGACTTGTGGTTCTTCTTGACCAACCGCTCGCATCATTGCTGTGTATTTGTATATACCTCATGTTAAAGACTTCTACCCCAGCATGTAGTTCTATTCAGGGCCGTATTTATTTATTTTCATTTCCTTTTTGAAAAATACCTCTTGAATCAGTTTTGGAGAGAGAAAAATGAGAATAAAAAATAAGCAGCCAAAATTTTGTGAAGATAATTGCTCCACATTTTATGGTTTATACCTCTCTTGTCTAGTGTAAAACATATCAGGGAACTAGATCTTGTTGAAGCAACAGACTTTGATCTTGGTGTACATTTTTACTTTGTGTTGACTTTGCACGGACACTGCAACTTTACTGTACACTGATACATAGAGAAGTGTACACACACTCTTGTACAGCCATATATAGTAATGTACAGTGTAACCTTGTTGTGTAGTGATCTGGCTCAATGTTCTGCCTGCCTAACCCAGCTTCTTAGTGTATTACTGAATAGTTCTGAACTTAGAAGCAATTCTTCTGAATTTTATTAGGGCACTTAAATAACTCATGTAACCTACTGCAATGTGTTTTTTCTGTTGTTGTTAAATAGCGCGCTTGAGCTAAAGCTTTTCTGATCACCTGTTGTCTGGAGGGGCTAGCTATATCTCAGTAAATTTTTCACATTTTTGACTTTAAACAAATGGGTAAGGAGGATTCCTTATTTTTCAGAAGTAGGCCCAAATCCATTATAAGGTGAGACCATCAAGAAAAGCAATAAATAGGATTGGGCCATTAAACATTTATGGAAGTTTCATTGGACTGTGTAGATTCTAAATTGTTCAATTCATGCCCCTTGGGGCAGTATTGGACCACAATACTGAATAGGGAAGTTTTTGATGAAATGCATAGGAAAACTCTTTATACACTATAATGATACCACAAAAAAATGAGATGGGAAAGCCTCCAGACTTAAAGTAGATTTTGAATCAGTCAAATTTTGCTCTCCAAAAGTTGGGTTTGTGGTCTTATTAAGGGATCAAAAATTATATTGAAACAATCTTTGAATAACCTCTGAAGGATCACTGGTCTAGAAAAGATAAGACTTCAGTGGAAGCTTCCTGAAGTAGTGTAAATTCAGCTAGAATGAAACAATCTTTTAAAAATGTGAAGAGGAACATTAGGCTGAGGTAACTCAGGTGAGCATTGTAGCCAAGGACCCTAAGATGCTTGTAAATACTGGAACATTTTTCTGTTTCTTAGACAAAGGAATGTGCAGACCAAGATTGACAAATATTACATCTAGAGATGTAACTGTATAAATAGGTACACCCTCTTTGTTTATCTGTCTTTCTGTAATTCCTTGCTGTATCTGTAATCATGTTATTTTTCTATGTGTAGTTTGTGAAGACATTGTGTTCATAATCATACTGGATAAATTCTCTAATCTGTTAAATTTTTTTTAAAGAAGCTAATTTTCATTCATTTATATTTACTATCCTAATTATGTGAGCTATGAGATAATGTTATTATTGTGTAGATCTGTCACAGTAGATATTAAGCCCACTGCCTTTGTTTTCTTCAGTATGCTTAATGTAATGTGTTGTCATGTTTGTTTTATTCATAATATGCCCACATTGAAATGTAATAATAAACATGTATGTATTAAAAGCTAGCTACATGTATATATACATATAAAATGTTGTTTAAGGTGCTAATACTGGCATTGTAACACATAGTTATTACACTAGACCATGTAGTTATAGTTCTATCAGATTAAGGTTGATGGCCTTTTAGTAAGAGAGATAACTCTCTCTTGAATTAATCACTTTTAAATTCCTGTATAAAATTATCAAGTTTCAAGGCAATTTCTGTGAAATTTTTGCACTACAAAATATGCAGAAATCTTTTCCAGTTTAATAACAAGTTAGATTACTTTTGAGGTCAATATCTAGTGTGCCTAAAGAAATATCAAATTTAAGAAATAAATTCCTTTAATGATAACAATTAACTTTTAGCAGAGTAAACAAGGAGACAATAAGCCTTAACTGTGATTTCTATATAATTTAATTTTAGTTGTAACATGTCATTTGATTGTGTAAAAGATTTTATCCATTTTGTATAACATAACTTGCCTATGTCACAATGAGTTACGTCAAAAACATATTACTCCACTTGACGTTACTTTTAAAATATGCGATATTTGAAGCTTTTTCCCGTTCGAAAAATTGTCTCATTGTCTACACTGAAATTAAATTATAAGGAATGAAGCTTATTTCAACTTATGTTCTATGATATAACATAACTTGGGGCAGTTTACGCTTTTTTATAAACCGCTTCGCGATTTATAAAGCGTAAACTCCCCCAAGTTATGTTATTTCGTTTAACAGAAGTTGAAATAAGCTTCATTCCTTAAGGGACTCCGACCCTCAGCCAGGAAGGACAACTCTTTAATTTATAATGTAATTCAAAAAGTCTTTAAAAGAAGCTTGAAAATTAAATATTTTTATGCAACAATTTTTATTATATGCCTCTTAATGTGCTTAAAGGTTCTCTGCAAAGCTGCATAAATCACTTCTAATTTCTTATCATGTTAATAAACATTGGTATCGAAAAATGCTTTTTCGGGATAAAAATTTCTACTTTTAATTAGACCTTTCTGAGAAGTTCAAAAAACCTTGAAGCACATTGAGAGGATCACTAAATTTTTGCGACACCTTATTTTCGTGAGATAGTCATTGACTCATGATTAGCGAGACAAAAATTTCACGAATTATAGTTATTGCTCTTTATAATCTTAAGGAATAATATTATATGCAAGAATTGAATTTTCGCGTGCATATTGTCTCGTGTAATTACGCGAAAATAAAGTTCTCGCAAATAAAAAGTGATTTACAGTAATGAAAATTGTTGCATGAAAAGATTTAATTTTCAAGCTTCATTTAAAGACTTTTTTAATTAAATTATAAATTAAAGAGTTGTCCTTCCTGGCTGAGGGTCGGAGTCCCTTAAATAAAGCTATATACAGTAGATAAAGACTAATGGTGGTGTTCCAGTGTCCTATAATGCTCACCTAACATTTAATCTAAACAATCTCTGCCTATTCTTAAGGCACTAGGAGTTTAGTGTAGTTTCATTGACCTCCTTGTGTATGAAAAAAAGGTATAGACATTGGTGATGAGTTTATTATCAGTTTATTATTATATTTTATAATTTAAAAGTCATGACATGTTTAAGGTAATTTTTGTAACATTATAATTGATTTTGGAGGCTAAACTAAAGATAAAGCATTACATTTGTATTAAATACTGTAATGCTTCTAATTACATTTTTTTGTAATATTGTAATGCTCTTAATTACATTTGTATTCAATACTGTAATGCCCCTCCAACTACTGGTTTGTTTGTTTTACGGAAATAATATGCATATGAAATATGTCATAGCTTCAATAAATGTGTGTTAAACTTGCACAATAAAATTTATAATGATGTATGTAATACATTTAGTCATAGATAATAAGTAATTATATGTATAATGAATATAAATAATAAAATATAATACTGCATCCTGATCCTATGCATGTTTATTGTGTACATAAGTGAGTTTAAGCTAAGCTCTTACATAATGAGCTTTTTGAAACTCTTACGGTGGATGTTATGTTACTTTCTAGCACCAATGAAGAGTTAAAACAAACACCCAAACTTGATGACATTGTTGAACATAAGTGATTTTAAGCCTTTGTAAAATAAGCATCCCTCTTATTTGTTCCAATTAGTTCACCTATACCTAGCTTGAACTCACTTGTATTATATGGTTCATGTAAACTCTACTGTAAATGTTTCACACTGTAAACTTACATTGGTTAAATTTTCTTTTATATATTAAACTTTACTTGTTTACATATATTGAATTAATTTTTAAAACAAATAACATTACATAGATGTTATAAAGGGATGTTCCTTCAATGCAAAGGTTGTAAATTTGATACTGGAATCTATTTTGCAGGTCTTCTAAAAACGAAATGTTTGTGGCCACCTTTCTATAGAACATTTTATAAAGAAGCTTTTTCTGTGTTTTGTGTATTCCAAACCATTGTTCCTAGTTGTGCCATATCTATATGCTGTGCCATGGATTTGCTTTGTTGTTTTGTTTTTCTTATACAGAAGTTACGCTATTATTGTAGATGTTGCATTGTATTGTAAAAATTTAAGTGTAATTAAAGTAGAACTTGCACTTTAAGTGTCAAAATGATGCTTAGAATTTATACTATACAGTAACTGTACATGTCAACCATAAAAAACAAAGTTTTTAACCTGAAATGTGAATTATATCCGTTGTTAAGAAAATGATTAAATTAAATCAATGGAAACTCTGAATCTTTCAAATTTTATCTGAAATATTAGAATCCTCTTTATTTATGAGTTTTAATTTAATTATATGTTTAATTTTTTTTCAGAAAATTACATTAAAGGGCATATATTTTTTATATTAATTTGTAATTTTAGAACATTTTTGTTTTGTTTAGACTTTAATTTGGATTGGGCTTTACCTAAATGATGTAGGCTTAACCTATTGCTCATAGAAAACGCTACCTTGACTTATTTTATAATAATATTAATTTATTTCTTGAAACCTCACAAAATAAAACAAATGTGGCATTGTTTTACTGTACATTCATTTGGTATATATACTACATATATATAACTGCTAATTGAAATGAAATATGGGACAAATTGCATGAAGATAAAACTTTTATGTCATTGATTAATGTTTTGCTTTCATAGGTATATAAAACTAAAATGGCTAGCCCTATACTTTTTCACCAACTGGAAAATATACTACATGTAGGTTCATAGAATTTGCAAAAAACTATGATAGGTGTTTTTTATTTGTACAACGAAATAAGCTGCTCTTCCATTTAAGTTGTGCATTTATTGTGGAGGGTTTTGTTGTTTGATACCATTAAAAACACAGACAAGTCTCAAGTATAGAGAATTAGACAGAAAAAATATACATACAAAATCCACAAGAAGATTAATGAATTTATTTCCTGACATAGTTATAAATCTTTAAACATGTACACTGATTAGCAGTTAAATCTTTAAACATTAGCATTATTTATCCCTCATTATATCACTATTGGCACATATTCTCTCAGAGCTAAATGTTGTTAGACATTCTTTGTTGCTTAGAAATGTTTGTTTAAAATATTTTTTTCTGAATTTTTATGTGAGGAATATATTGTAGAAACACCTCATATATTTAGATCTGTGACAATACTGTAATCTCCATTGTATGTTGACACATAGAAGGCATCAGATGCCCTTTAGTGTGTGTGTTCCTCTGTGAGATTTGCTGGACCTGTGACCAAAGACAATATTACTGAGACTTTATTGAATTGAAGGTTGTCTCTAAGTGACTGTGGTCCTGTAATCTCAGATGAGACACAGGAGTAAAACTTAACTTTCCTGACATTCTTTGTGTATTTCCTTTGGGTGTAATATAACTTAATTCATTCACAATGTATGTTTTAATACATGCAATTAAAGTTTTCAATTTTTTCTTCAGCCTGAGCTCATAACCGTTTGATTAAACTTTTTTCATGATCATAAATTATATCAATAAATTTATATGTATAATGGATAACTGCAGCTAATTTGTTATGTTTAGTTTTTGTTTTTCATTTATATGCATCAAGTGCCATATAAGTACATTTTCTCGATGTTAAATAATCAATATGTTCAGCTGGTATCTATAGTAAACCAGATGTACACGTGTCAGAAATCTCACCCACTAGCCGCTTCCTTGTATTGTTGGTCGCCTGTGTTGTAACCAGCTGGTTTTGTCAATCTGTTACAATAAAAAAGATTTAATCTCTGTCCATTCTTGTTATTTGGGTGGGCTGGGGATTGAGGGGGTCGGGCTAGTACAGCTGTATGTATATTAACATTATATATCAGTTACTGCCTTGTATTCAGATGCTGTTCGGGATTAAATCTCTTGTGTAAAGGACCAAGCACTACCTTTCTGTAAAATGTACCTAGTTTATTTTGTAAAATACACAATGGATTCCTCTTTTTAATTAAAAATAATTATGCTATTTAACAAATAAACTGTATGACACACGAAATGACCAGCTTTTCCATTTTCTACTCTCAATCACGACAAGCTACTGACAAATGTGCTGAGGCTACAGGAATTTAAACGTTAAAAGTCAAAATTTCATGAATTCTATGGGCGCACTATAATTACCTAGTTAACAATTTATAAAACTAGAGGTACTGTGAGCAATGAGCTCACTAAATGACACCCCCCGCCTCCCATATGAATATAATGGCAGTGTCCATGTTTTGCTCTGGAAAATCAAAAATACATGTCAGATCAAAAAGTAAAATAGGAGGTGCACAATGGCAATATGTAATTAAGAATCTGTGAAAGTTTCATTAAATTTCCTTCAGTGGTATGAGAGGAGTTGCGGATAAGAGATGGGTACCCCAAAGAGTAACAGACGGACGGACGGACGGAAATACCGATTACTATATACCCTCCCACTTTTCAAGCGGGGGGTATAATCACCTATCATTGGATCGTGTGTCAAACCAATTGTTAGGCTTTGTTATACTAAATTTGACTACAAGATGTTCATTTACCTTGATCAGCACACAGGGCTCATGGCGACAAGGGCAGTCAACACCCGCGATGATCATTTACAAGTCTATTCTACCACAGTATGGCATTTGGGGGGGTCTTATGTCTCATTTTTAGTTCTACTGGTCAGAGACCAGAAGAGCTTATGCGATAGTAATGCGTCCGTCGTCCGTCCGTCTGTCTGTAAACATTTTTTCAAAATGCTACTCCTCCTACAGTTTTAGTCTGATTTCAATATAATTTGGCACACAAGTAGACTACACTAAGATACATAATTCTACATATCGGG